GTGAATGAATGTTTTTTCTGATATAAATATTTCGATAATCATAGTACTTTCCGTGTGTTCATGCTTTTCGTCCGGCATATAAGTATTGAAGCGGAATTTTAAATAAAGAACCTACAGTTGTTCTAATCATTTGGCAACAAGTCAAAATAAAACGCACAATCAAATTAATTGTAATGATTACCTTCTAATGATTAAATTCTATTGATACCTTTAGATAAAAGACAACGAAGGTCACATGTTATCTGATACATCACCAGAACTTGTAGAATCCTCCATCGGTTGTATGACCGATAAAAAATAATTCTAACATAATAATCGAGATATTTTGTATTTTGCGTAAATGTTTGCTAACAATTTTGAGAGCTTTTGTTGAGAAGATACATTGCAGAAATAACCCAAATAAAAAGCATACATTTTCTCGGCATTTAAATAAAGAATCGCTTAACAGATGAGTTTAGTTCCCAAAGAATTTAATTTAAAACACACTGAAAATAGATTCATTTTAAAACAAATGATTGTACGAAAGACTTTCTCACTATGGTTGCAAGGTGTCCACTATTTAAGGGAAACAGTCCGCTTTTTACTTTCCCGTATATGTACGTATACGGGTACGTTTACGTACTTTCCCGTATATGTTCCCGTATATACGGAGTATTATTCGTAGTATAGAGAATAGATTTCACGTTCCAATGATTCATTTCACCGTAAGCTACTTTCTCTCAAGCTGTAACTCGCAAATGTAACCAGGTCTGAGCTTATATTTTAACAAGGCCGTAGCAATATCAGTGAAAAAGGAACTTAGCTAATGTCTCTGTAGGATCGCTATCACACCAATAACCGATGACAGTTGCAAGGAACAGATAAATATGTACAAGGTCTCTCCGAGTTAATGATCAATAAGATTCTTGATACTAGCACTCGAGTGCACAAATTACAATGCAGCCAAGAGGCACTCGAGACGTAGATGAAAACTTCCCGTGATAGAAATTTAATTAGCTCTTCTAAAATAAAAGATTAATGCTAGTAATTTATGCAAATAGTTTATAATGTTAACCCTTATGGCATGAGTACATACGAGTATTTTGAAAATGAGCGACGTTAGGAGCGAGTTTTCAAATTTGTACGAATACAATTTTGTACAATAAAGCAACATTGTAAACGAGTTGCATGTGCTATTTTTTGTACAATGTCATACATTTTTAATAGAATCAAACTTAATTTTACGAAACAACTTTTTTGTGACGTCTCGGGTATTTGACATCTGTACGAGAAAACGGTGGTTGGCTGCTCTGTTTATCTCTACCTCCCCAAGATTCTCTCGCTGCGATTGGTTGAATGAGTGATGACCCTAGCCAAGGTGTGATTACGCAAACTGTAAAAGTAAGCGGCTGGAAACAGAATTTTTTCGAATCTCTGAAATACGAACTCGCTCCGATTGATTCTATTCTGTACGATTTACTGACTTTTAGAAAATAAAAGGCTACAGAAATAGTTTTTGGAAGAACCGAATTGGAGAGGTGACTAAATACAATTCTGGTGATTTGAATTCAAATCATTAAACGATTTATTGTATATTAGATCAGTTTCTTTTTAATCTGTGATTTTTAAACTGACATTTTTTACTTGATTAAAAATTCCCATTTTTTACGATGAACGTCCACGATCAAAAATTGAAAGTATAGATAAAATTGGAAATTTCTGTCCGCACTGTAAAAAGAATCTGTGATGCAAGAAAAACGAGCAACAGATTTGACTTCAACAAACTAAAACTATGTTCAATCTCGTTCCCCTTAGCAAAGTTCAATTGATATCACTGCAATGCGTTTGACCGGGAGGTTCTGGAGGTTCGAGTACTGACGATCGCAGAATTTTCGACGCTACCTAGATAGCTATATAGATCAAGTACAGCCGCTGTCTGGAGGAGAATTCTGGCGACCGGCTGCTCTGATCGGTAATTTTCCTTGGTTTCTCCGATCATCAGTAAGCGAATGCCAGAGCAGTGCCCAAACGAACAAGGCACGGACGCACGCGATCTTTCCTTTCTCTTCCCATACACTTACATGCACTACACTACCACACATGCAACAGGAGCTTAGAGCTTGTTCCGGCTGGGGCGGTGCCCCGCTTTTGAGAGATACCTGGTTGAGGGAAACCCCTCATGCCGATGTATAGGTCAGCGCGAGATCTCACCTTCCAGCGGAGGAAGATCACGATAAAAAGCATGCACTACACTTATGAGACTAATGTGATTAGCAGTTGAGGCGCCAGGAATCACTAATCAATGGAAGCCGGCAGGTCTGTTTGATGGGCCGAAACTGAGTGTCTGCCTGTGACTGACTGCTCAGGCACCTGCTGGAGCCCGACGTGACGCGTCGCGCCACCATCCTGCAGGTGAGCAAAAGCAGCTGGCTGCGGTAGGCGCGTTCGCCCGCGGCCGCCCCTCCCCGCCCCCGCCCGTCGCCCGCCGGCGCCGCGGCTGCGCCCCCGGCGCCGCCCTCCCCTCCGCCTCACCAGCTGCGCAACGTTTGCGTTGACTCGCCGACTTCTGACTCGTATACACTGTTTTGTATGGCATATTTATTTTTATACATTTATTTTTACAAATAAACATGCTATATTTTTTTACAATGTAGTAAGTACCCGTCATGTCGCCGATACTCAACACTGGAGGACAGTCGGCCGCGGCCGGTGGCAACCGATGGGCGCCAGGGTTGTGGATTCGAATTCTTCGACGTATTCACTGGGAGATTGTTAGAGATAGACGAATCACTGTACATTGCATTGAAACTATTATTTAAATTATGATTCATCGTTTCAAAAAATTAACCTGTAAATCAAATACCAGTTGTCTGATATTTGAAAGCTAACATTTTATCAGGGATGTGACATTAAAATAAGTGGAAGACGTATTCATCATGATATAACACTGTCATATGTAGCTAACGCGGCACCGCTGTACCAAGTGTTCCTACGGAGAATTACGAATGTGCTGAATACATTATTTGTTAAGTAAATACAGAACACACAGTATTGAGATGACTAAACAGTTCTTTTTCTTCTTCTTCTTCTTCTTCTTCTTCTTCTTCTTCTTCTTCTTCGCATTCCTTTCTTTCACATCCTTCCTTTCTGTCATCTCCTCCTCCGTCTCCTTCCCCTCCTATTTTTTCTTGTTCTTCTCTTTCTCCTCTGTGTGCCAGCACAAATTAATTTATCATGACTATTCCAGGGTTGCTGCAACACGAAAGCGAGTAGCGTATAAAAATCAAGCCAATTACCTAATAAAAAATTGCAGTTATGCACAAAATTGCACTCAGCTAAATTTATTATCTGAAAACTGCATTTCCTCTATCTATGGCGTGGCACGCCGGGTTCGCATTGACTTGTCAATTTATGACTCATACACTTTTATTTGTTCGTTGTAGCACTAGAGCTTTATCTATTTGATTGTTATTATGGTGATATGAGTTAATTACAACAATTATTTTAGATGATAAGACAAAGATGTTGGAAACGACTAACATTACTCTCTTAACCAAGATGTTCGTGTAAAATAAATAAAAATAAAATGTAAAAAATAGTTATTTTTGTAACTAGTACACAAAATGTGCCTTTGCCGTACAAATTAAATAGTGGAGTTCGAGGCGACGAGACGATAGGAGTTCTAGGAAGATCATTTTGATATGAGTACGCCAAAGGTACTTTCGTACGAGTTGTGTTCATTATTATTATTATTATTATTATTATTATTATTATTATTATTATTATTATTATTATTATCTGTGCGAATTCATCAAAACTTACCAGTACATAATCTTAAGATTTTATCAATATTTGAGGCGGTAACCATGTTGATTCATGTCGCCCACAGAATTTCGTTTACTTTTCAGTTCTCATGGTCATGACATTGTGCGGTCTACTTTGTCTTTAAGTTTACTCTCTGCCGTACGCATACGGTAAAGTAACGCTTTCCAATCAATAAACAGCGAAGGTAAGTTCTATTTTCATCTACAAGTGCTGAAAATAGATTTTCAATCGTCTGATATAAAACTTACACGACACATGTTTGATACAACATCGTATTGAATGAACCTCGTACAGCTTTTTTGGCACTCTGTTATCGCGTCATGATGCACAATACACGTTTCATTGCGATGCCCATATCACATTTGTTCCGTTTATAACTATTATGCACCTATGTTTACAAATAAACATGATGTTTTTTAGTATGTAGTAGTAGACATGGAGGCCAGATATGTGAGGTCGAATCTTTCGATGTTTTCATCTAGTGATTGTGTTATGGAAGGCAAAAGCTAAGCAAGACATCCTGTCAGCACTTGGCAAACCACCATACACCATGCGAATCAATGTTTCACAATTATCCTTCCCAGTGCAAGGGCTTGGTAGATCAGAAAAAGTACGAAAATAGAATACCTATCGCGTCTCATAATTCAATTATTATTCATTACTATCGATTTCAATAAAACCTACCGTAGTAAACAAAAACAACAAAAAAAAAGGCCCCTCTTAACTTTCCATATTCCAAGCGAAGTTTTGATAAGTCTGTGAAATTTGTCTGGTAATAGCTTTCACTGAAAACTAGTTGAAGTAACCCGACGTTGACTGGATATTTATCTCAATTCGGATATTTCCGATTTACTAAAAATGAATCTAAGTGAAATTTTGCTACATTAAAATGATACAGAATGTATTCTAACTACACTGAGTCGCAACAAATTACTGGTGAAAATGCACGGCGTTTGAAACGATTGCAAAATCCGCGCCCTTGTGCCGTGACGACTCGATTCACAAAGCCAAATAGACGGCGTTTTCTATATCAGAGTAATAATAAAATCAGTTTTTTTTTTACGTTATTTAGTGTATTTTCACTTAATTACAAATGGAGAGTAACGCAATCATTACGTAATTAGGGGAGGGAGATCGAACCCTTTTTGCAACGGGCGAGGAGTTATGAAAAATACTCCATATTTGAATTACTTAATAGGACAACTCTGACGTACGAGCCAAAGTACTGGCAAAGAACATGGTTCAAAATTGGTGCGATTACGAAGTTCACGCATGACGTAACTGAGCATGCCTGCCTTTTCAAGGTCGGTCAATATTCAAGTTACGTAAGTGACAATAACATATTATAAAGTAAAGAAGTAAACCTATTCCGTTGTGTTATTCGCCCAACTTATTTCGTATACCAAAATGCATATACCTCATTGCTGTAAAAAGCTGTCACCCGCTGTCACCTTTGCAGTACTTGCCCCTTATGAAATCAGTTGCATCGTTCGTTGTGTTATGTACTCAAACAGATCGCCCGTGATGTATGATAAGCACGAAGTTGCTGTCGTTCGGATCAGGAACTCGTCAGTGTTAACTTGGTAAAAGACGCTATCTCTAAAATTTTGCTACCATCTGACAGATCAGCATGGAATTTTTTATTGGTGGTGCAGCTGCAATCGGGGCGGGCATCTTTACGAATCCGCTGGAAGTTGTGAAGACAAGATTTCAACTGCAAGGAGAACTGCAAGCACGTGGTTTATATGCTGTTCATTACAAAAACTTTTTCCATGCATTTTATGCAGTTGCAAAGGCAGATGGCATATTGGCGCTTCAAAAAGGTTTAGTACCCGCATTGTGGTATCAGCTGTTTCTGAACGGAGTTAGGTTAGGAACGTATCAATTCGCCGAGAAACGAAATTGGACATTCAATAAGGATGGAAGTACATCAGCAGTTAAGTGTGTTATTGTTGGAGCTGTTGCCGGATGTGCTGGGGCATTTTCAGGAAGTCCATTCTATTTGGTAAGTTATAACACGTTATGATATGCGGATATTTGTATTATTATGATATTTGTAGTGTAATGGAACGTAATGAGAAACTCACGAAATATAGGTTTTGTGGCTATTAAAGGGGTAACACATTTGACGTTCCAATTATTATTGTTATTCTTATATGTTTTATTTGTTTTATGGTCATTATAATCTACTAGTTGAGTATAATATTCACCTTTCAGGTTAAGACACATCTACAGGCTCAGGCTGCTTCAGAAGTCGCAGTTGGACATCAGCATGGCCATAGTAGCATGACAAAAGGTCTAGTTACTATTTTTAAGCAGCATGGAATTACTGGTTTGTATCGTGGGGTCATGGGGGCTATGCCTCGAGCTGCTATTGGGTCAGCAACTCAGCTTGTGACTTTTGAATCGTCAAAAGAATACTTGGCTAGAGAATATCAGGTAATTAGTTAATAAAAATAAATGTTTTTAAATGATTTGTGTTAAAAGATTTTTACTGTATTGCTCTAATTGAATTTAGGTATTTCAAGAATATCGTCTTTTCAACACTTTTGTTGCTAGCATGATTGGAGGAATTGTAATAGCAATTTGTATGACGCCATTTGATGTAGTAATGACAAGACTTTATAACCAAGGTAGTATGACTATTAAATTGTTTATTAAACCTTTGAGATTCATTAAAATTATTATTAAATCTTTATATTAATATATACTTTGATGGCTTATTATTGCTTATAAGAGATCTAAATAAATTGAACCTCCTTTTGTGATTTTTAGGAGTTGATTCAAAAGGTAGAGGACTGCTTTACAATGGTGTTCCAGACTGTTTTGTGAAAATTTGGAAGAAGGAAGGTTTACATGGGTTTTACAAAGGATTTGTCCCAAGTTACGCACGTTTGGGCCCTCATACTGTATTATGTTTTGTATTTTGGGATGCCCTGAAGAAACTAGAAAGTGATTATTTAAATAGAAAGACAACGGATGTAGTTCGCAGCTGAAGTAGATTAATTTTATGTAGTACATAAAATATTTTTGTATAATTCTTTGCTTATAGATGTAGCAGCAGGCATGCTACATTAATTAAAATATTAAAGATTTAGCAGTATTTTCATATACTTGAATCTCTTTCTTTTCAAGTGTGTTCATTGTTAATTGAACAAATGGTTTATTTTATTAACTAGGTAAGAAAAATTAACATTTCTAATTATTTTTCCCGGGCAGTTTTTACAGCCAAGGAAAGCCAAAAGGGAATATTGAGAATTTCTTTCTAGTACTGGTTTTATGACAATAAAATATTGAACACTGTTTAAATGGTGCTATTCTTCAATTTTATTTTTAATAAAAAATGCAGACTTGAGAATAGTTTGCCAAGTTATGAATTTTAATGGTAAAATAAAAATAAATGTCAAGCAAACAAACAGTATAATTTGTCAGCAAATTTGTAACTGTGAAATAAATGCAACAGATGTAGTAGTTACAGTTTGGGCATTAAAGTGATACAATAGCTTCATTAGAAACATTTACTTTGGCAAATGTATTATGTATGCATTGCATTTTGTTGTTTTATTATGATTGTTTATTGTTTTATTATTATTGTATATATGAATAGTTATCTACAGAATATATATTCTAGAATATTAATTAGGAGATCAAAGCTTCCAACATCAACTTCATCAACAATGTCCCTATTGTGTTTGAGTTTCAAATATTTGATTTTATAAATGCACCAAACATAACGATAGTTTATGTTGTGCACAAGTAAATATTCCAAGCGATCTCTCATTTAAATAGTTGTGAAGAGTTTACATCTTTTAAAGGTTTAATTTAACTTATTGTTTAAAAAAAAGAAAAGAAAGAAAGAAAAAAAAAAAACAACTGAAAGCTTGAGGGAGAAGTTCAAAGTTACCAGTTAAAATTGCATATGCATACTCCCAACTATTCTAGTCAGTTTTCTGAAAAATTGATTTGTATTTGTCCAAAAATTTTCAAAATACAGATATTAAAAAAATGCTATGCATGTATTATGAAATGACAGTATATTTCCATTAGAGTAATAACCAATTTGTTAATAAATTTGGGTTTTAAAATCTGTGAAGAACATTGCTTCAAACATCCACCCAGTATTCATTTCTGTGTAGTATTAGATGTAGTTATAATTATGGGGGAGATATAGACTTGGTCTCTTGTAGTTACATGACGTGTAATTATTTATATATGAATTTCTGGTCTTATTATTTTTCAAGAAAAAGTGTGAATCTGAAAAAAAAAATGTTTTCAGTTGTTTTAATGTCAAAGGCAATTTTCAAGAGGTAAAGAGATATTTGTTGGTAAGAAATTAGCATACATTTTCACTCATTATTGATCATTGACTTCTCATTAAATCCTTTAAAAGAAAATTGAAACTTTTTATTTGTAGCACAAACAAAAAATAAATTGTAAATGTTTAACTTGTTCATGTACCTTTTTATCGTCTCTCCATTCCTTTAATTATGAATTTCGCAGTCTGAATTAACATAATAATCATTGGAACTGAAGCATTTTTTATACATTAAAAACTATTTCTAATGATTGACATGTCTAATGAGATAAAGTTTTAATTTAAAATATTTATGAATTACTGAGAAATTAACATAAGGTCTTTCCCACCATGTCAAGGAATTCATAAAACTGGCAAGTTTGCTTTCCACAACTTGTGATAATCTGTAAATAAAAGTTACATCTAAACTAAACTTAAATATTAATGTTTAGGAATTTTATTAACTATTGTATATAAACCAAATTCACACAATTTGACTGCTTTTTTATTTCTGAACAATTATATTTCTTTTGTAAATAAACTAATGTGTCTGGAGTGTTTCTGTGCTTCTGCAATGCGAATTTTTGCCTAGAAAGCATTTTTCCAAACAAACTTTTGAGTGCTTATAGCAGCTAAATCATTTGGAATATCCCAATAGTTTGATAGAAAAAATAGGACTTCCTCAGGGCCAGATTAATGTTTTAGGGTCGTCCATACGTACCGCAAATTTGGAGTATTTTCAATCCCCCCCGTTACGCGCCCGTAGCGCGCTATTTAACTCTCCCTAAATAATGAAGGTGAAAATAAATTATAGCTCTTTAAAAAATATATATATATTCATTTTATTTGTGTTGTGTATTAAAATGTATGATATTTAAAGTAGGAATTAATTTTCAACACCTAACAAAATTGGGGGCAAATGTTGAGTGAAGGTAGAAGAGACATGCGAGAAAATTGGTGATCACAACCCGTGCATACGCCACGTGCGAGAATCTACTGCGCCACATGTTCTACAAAATATTACAGGTCAGTTTTGAACATTTTCGTCGTAATCTGACATTCAATACAAAATTGATGAAAAAATATTTCCATTTATTGTAACAACTTTCATTTATTTTATAATTAATTTGTTTTAAAACACAAATATGTTAATGGTTTAGTATAATACTCAAAGTAGTATATCGACAAATGTTAAAAATACATTTAAAAATATCAATGTCATGTATCACTAACCGAATACCGCCTGTTCCTAAGTAACGCAGCCTCACGCTACTATTTAGCGTTGCGTAATTCATGGATGACCCATTAAATGTGGCCAAATGATATAGCAACATTGAACGTATGTATTCAAAACTGTTATGAAAATTACTTCAACATAACCAATTTAAAAACAATGTTAAGCTCGTGGCCTCCAGCAGCAAAAATGCTGAACAATGCGATGGGCAATTTTTGTGGTTGCATTCGGCTTTAGAGTAGCGAAGTATATAAGAAACAGCAAGAGATAACCATTTAACAAAATCACTGTCAACCAGTACAAATACTATAGTATTTGAGCAGTATTACGAGTATTGAAGTGATATCACCCCAAACGAAATGCGCGAAATTCGAATTTCTCATTTCGACTTTTAGGAAATATTTAAAGAGTTTTTGAAAAATTGAACATGATTGGAAGGAAACATATTGTAGGAAGATAATAAATTTAACTGAGAATCAACAAACATACTTCAAGAAGTTTTGATCGCTGATTATGGTATTCAAAAATTGATAACTCACTTCAATGTAAAAAAGGGTGAAATTATTCTTGCTTTTTTGTATAATGTGCTGCAAATACTGAACAGTCAAATTTATTCCTTTGTTTCATTTGTAAAAGTAAGAAATGACTACTGTTCCCAGTGTGGCCAAATTCCGATTTCTTCCGCCTTTTTGAGGTCCAATCCAAATTCCGCCCCGATAGCCAGAAATTCCAATATTTTTCCTCGGCGATTATTTTCTTTGTACTGAGTATGGTTAGTTGTCCGGATATACTCCACCAACTACCAATGATATAATCACAACGCGGAGAAAATCCTATTCGACTAAAAGCCAGAACACGTATTACTCGCGCAACTTTTCTTGAACGATGACCTTGATCCCCCTCCCTTGTGCAACAAACAGTTGAAGGCAAAAGCTCGCAGCGTGCACTGATGACAACCTTCCAAGCATTAAAACTTCGTTGGCGCGAAACAGAGGCTAGTCAAAGCCAGTAGCTTTCATAGTGCAGAACCCCTGTTCAGATTTATTGTCAATATCGAAAGAAATGAGAGTGAGTCAGCTGAGTCTGGTCCAGGTCCTTCAATGGAGTCATCTAAAACTCCCGAAAAAGTTACGCACAAGATGCAGTTTTGACTTTCATTTCACACACGTTGGCATTACTTAAAATACTCTAGTGGCTGACTTTGTAACTAATACCCCCACTCCACCTGAAATCGTCTATCCATCGTTCAAGAAAAGTTGCCCGAGTAATACCCACAATTATGACTAAGAACACAAAGAATAAGCAATCGTCCTATTCTATTGCATGCTTTTCTAAGCAACTGTAACTCCTCTTGGGATTCATGCGGAATATTCCGCATTATCGCGGTTCCCTTTCCTCATTCCCACTTTCGAAATTAGCATCACAGGCTATTGCTGACAATCGAAATAAATGCAGATATACACCAGAGGCGCTTCGTTTGAATCTGTTGAATTGGACTACCTGAGATGCTACTAGGCCAGAAACTGCAATATTTCAATATTAAATCTAGATTTTTTTTGTTTTGCGGTACCGCCCATATTTATGGACAGTCTCATTTTACACGCGATGCAAAAGTAGCGATTTAAAGAGGATGCTACTGAAAAAAAAGTTGTCTGGGTGATTCCTTTTCAACAAGATAAAGGGAACTAGTGGTGCCACAAAATGGCACAGACTTTCCTGTTGTAGTTTTCTATTCCCTTTGGTCTCGGATAACTATTCGGACTTGCCACATACCACTTGTCAGCTGCCACCTATCGCCGCCCAAAGTTCATTACAAAATTTTTAATTGTTCGGTTTTCTAATTGTAGAACAGAAATATTATTTTAAGAATATTAAAAAACAGTAAAATCTCGTCCTAAGGACAATTTTCATTAAAAAATTTGGAGCCGTTGTTTTAGAAAATTGCGTTTAAGCGCTACTGTAAATGCAAAATTTGAACCTTTCACAGAAAAATATTGTGTTTTCGAAAAAACTTCATATGACGTCATTTCTAGCACTTTCAGTCCCAAATAAAACTGTGTTTACAAATTGCTGAAAATGTGCGTATTAAAGGCGTGAGACATCTTTAAAAAAATTACACTTGTGTAATTTTTGAAAAAACAAAAGAACATAGCAAAATTAATTGTGTAATCTTAAACAGTACAATTAGTACTATTCGTTCGAAAACTTAAAACAATTTTGAGACACATGTGAGAAAATGGTGTTTGAGTGTTTTTAATTATGCGAAATTTTGAGCTCATTCTCACAGAAAACGGTTGAGTTTTGGAGAAACTTTATCTGACATTATTTAAAACACATGTATTCATAAATATATTAATGTAAACAATTTGCCGCTAATGTAAATTTTAACATCGGTGTGAGACAAGTAAACGTTTTTGTAATTTTTGAAGAAACAAAACGATAGAGCAATATGACGTTGATGCCAACTTATAGAGTGCATTTAACACTATTTATACGAAAAGGTTAAAGAAAAAATTATCAGCCGATTTTGAGCAAATCTTGTTTTTGTAATTGCATATATTGCTCGCGATATTGCGCAAAAAATATTAACATTTTCAAAACAACGCACATGACCTCAACGAAAGAACTAATTATGGATAACAAATTTATTTCAAAGGAAAAACTTCTATCTTCAATTTTGTAGTTGAAGGAAAACGCCAAAAAATTCAAACTTTTGAAGTTTTCGAAAATTCAGAGTTAACAGTGTATATAGAACATACGACACCTTTATAGATGTATTTTACTCTATTCTTACAAGAAATTTAAATAAAACATTTGAAGCCGTTATTGAGAAAATTTTGAAAATGTGCGAGGTGCTGCATGTAAAGTACCCCCGAATTTTAAAGAATGTTTTTCAAAATCTCAAAAGCTTCGACTCGAGCCAGATGACAGGGGTTTCTTCAATTTGAAAAAATCCTACCCCAGGTTTAGGCGCCAGTGGTGTTCACAGACGGACGTTTAGTAAGAACCATTCTTTCGGTATCAGGGGACCTCAAAACGTATATTTCCGCTGCAATCTCGAAATCGATTTTCCGCAGCGATATACAATTTTCCCCTACAATACGTATATTTCACCATATATAACGTACGTATACTGGAACGTAAAATGAACAGGGTGACCAGCAATCTGGCATTTTGGAATTCAAGGCATTTTCCCGGTTTTCCAGGTCTGGGAGCATAAAATTTCCAGGTTCTGTTTCGCTCATTATAACACATTTTTACTTTCCCGTATACATAAGAGTATATACGGAGTAATATAGGTAGTACAGGGAAACTCATGTAATGCTGAAAATCGATTTCGAGATTTCAACGGAAATACAAGTTGTTGGGTCCCCTGACACCGAGAAAGTGTTTTTTTTTAAATGTCCGTCCGTTTGTCTGGTTTTTTGTGAACAAAACAACCGCCTAACCCATGCGTAGTATTTTTTCCAACTTGAAGAAACCCCTGTCCATTTGGCTTGAGTCAAAGCTCTGTGATTTTGAAAATCATTCATTAGTTTTTAGGGGTACTTATCATGAACACCTGGTACATTTTCAAAATTTTTACAAAACTGGCTCCAATTTTTTTCTTTTAATTTCTATTAAGAATATAGTCAAACACACTTATAAAGGTAGCATAGGTCTGATTTTTACGGTTAACTATACATTTTCGAAAATTTCAAAAGTTTGAATTTTGAAGGGCCTTCCCGCAACTACAAAATTAAAGATAGATATATTTCCTTGAAATTAAATTTGTTGACCATAACTTGTTCTTTCATGAAGGTTATATACACGTTTCTGAAAATTTGACTAGTTTTTGCGCAATTTTACGTTAATTTGAGCAATTATGAAAAATTACAAAAAGATTTTCTCAAAAGCGGCTTCAATTTTTTCTTTACACTTTGATAGGGATTGTGATAAACGCACTCTAAAAGATGAATAAACGCCATATGTTTAATAGACTTCGTCTCTCGTCATTAATATTTACATTGGTTCACAATATATGAGTACATATGCTTTAAAAAAGTCATATAAAGCTTCTCGAAAACCCAACCATTTCCTGTCAAAACTACCTAAAAATTTCGCATTTTCAGAAACGCTCAAATACTATTTTCTCAGAAACTGCTCCAATTTTTTTCTTCAAACGTTTCGAAAGGATAATGCTTATTGCACTCTTTAATATGACAATAGGTTCATTTTGCTATATTTTTAAAAAATTACACAATGTATTTTTATCGAAATTTCTCTCACGTCGTATGTACATTTCGAGCAATTTGTAATTGTATTTGCGAGTTAATATGCTTCAAATGAAGTTTTTCGAAAGCTCACAAATTTTCCGTGAAAAAGGCGAATTTACTGTAGCGCTTTAGTGTCATTTTCTTAAAAACAGCTCCAATTTTTTTCAAATAAAAGTGTCTTTACTGTTCTTTAATATTCTTAAAATAATATTTCCGTTCTTTTAGGAAACCCAACAATTAAGAAATTTTTTTAAAAAAATGTACTTTGGGCGGCGATAGATGGCAGCAAGCAAGAGTGTGTGGCAAGTTAGGATATCTAGGAAATAGAAAACGAATACGAGAAAGTCTGTGCCATTCGGTAGCACCACTAGGTCTAGTTGCTACTTAACTGTACTAGGTTACTCACACTTTTCTTTCACGACCTAGTACTAGAGTAGAATTTTGTACAAAAACTCAGACTTTTTTTCCAGGGAGCTTATGTGTCTAACTATTATTCAGAACTGAAATGCTTTAGAAACTATTTTTTCAACAGGAAAGTCTATCTTGGAGCTGATGGCAACTCACGGTTAGAAGTACTTTTTTCCTTATATAGGTTTTAGATGTCAATCCTGCTGTGAATAAGTTTTCAACACGCAATTCAGAATTTCTTTTTTCAAAATGGACTCTAGACCTACTAATCAGTTCTCACAAATTTTTATGAGGATAATTTTAGATTACGTGGCAAAGATGAAAAGTATGCTTAATAACAAAGAGTTTTTCAATTTTAATGATACTTTTAAATTTTTGGAATGAATAAATCTTTATATTTGCTTGAAGCATTTGATATAAATTAATTTTTGGAATTTTGGAGATTACATAATCGATTTTGCAATACAATAATTAGAAAACATTGTTCAGTTATAGTATTTATGATTATAATAAGTTTCCTCACAAATTTAAATTGTTATATTTCCTTATTTTTTCAAAACAGTTATTTCATTTTCTATGTTAAATTACAATTTCCAGATTTTTTCAAAACAGGTATTTTGTTTTTAATGCTATGCTAAATCACCACCTGCAATTACAATGATGAGAGATTTTCCCGAATGATAAGATTTGCTCCAAATTAGATTATAAATAATGTCATGAACAGTTTATTGAAAATAATTATTTTTCACATAATTGAAAGTATTAAATACATAGCATGAGCATTGAATTGAATACATATTCATTCAATCAATTACTTATGCAATTTTTTATAAAACATGAATTGATATTTGGCAGAGAAAGTGAGGGTGGTAAGAAAAGTCTAAAACACGATAGTTGCTTGTAATTCAAACTAGTCCAACTAAATGCCATTGTCACACATTACACCTATACAGAAGAGCTGCTTGCCACAATTCAAAATTAAAAAACAAAAGAAAGAATTTGTTTTGGAAGATGAAAAAAATAAAACAAAAAACCTCTTTTTAACAGTCGCATACCAATGCCATTCGAGTACCTGAAGAACACTGTGGAGTGGTAAGGGGGAGGGGACAGAGCTCAATGGTGAATCTCCAAAATAAATAGAAAAATAATGGAAGGTAAATTTTATACATTTAGGAACTAATGCTACATGTATTTTGTAATATTTTACAATAATTGTTTACAAGTTTATTTTAAAATATTTTCAGAATTTCAGCTATGGCAAGGTCATACATATTTTGGACATTTTGTGTACTTGGATTTCCATTCTGCAGTGACACACATGGCCATATCATTTTCTTAAAAAAACTAGTTCAACATTCACCATGTTGCTCTAAATATACAACTTATCTACATACACAGATACAAAAATAAGATTTTAACATGTTAATGGGCAGATCTGGCTGAAAGAAAATGCCAGTTTCCACTAAGCAATTATCCATGGCAACAGTTTCCAATTAATTTGTACACATCTGATAAAGATGAAAATTATTGTTAAAAAAAGGTCTAATAATAAAAGCCCAAACTCCTTAACTAAACAAAGAGAAAAAAAAATGGTGTCCATCATTGATATCCTCTCCCCCAAAAACCCCATTGGTATGCGACTTTTGATTGTTACTTCACAAAAATATTTTTCTTTCATTAAATTAGGTGAAGCCAAACCGAAGGTGAAGCGTGAGGGGAGGCAACGGCCTAAGTCTTGAATGAAATTACAAGGAAAAGACAATTAAAATTATGCACATATATTTCTATTGCACATGTGCTCAATTCTGAAGTTGTTATAAAAGTAGACTGCAAAAGTCATCACACATGGTCAACTCACTGTTAGCAAGAACATGATATCCATGGAACATCCACGGCATGAGCTTTCGGATTGATAGATCACAATCTTCTAAGGCTTTCATTTTTAAAATTTTCATTAATTCACATTTTGAGTAATTCGACCAATACATTTGTAGTGTTCAGGGGTCTTAGTTACGCCATTATAGCACTCAGCTGACTGTTTGGGACCCATTCAAACAATTCCTATCTTGGTGCTTCTTTCTACCAATCTGATTTATCACAATAAGCCAATGTTTATCACTCAAAATTAATATGAAACATACCTTTTTATTTCATCCAAAGAAAGGGAGCAAGGCCAAAATCAAATAAGACATTACATAAATATGTAACATTTTATTTCTGAAAAATACAATAAAAAACCTTTATTGCTATTGATCAACAAAAATGGACCAACAGTAACTTAGAATTTTGGTTATGCAAAACTGAAGAAAACTAATAATAATTCAAAGCACCTGAGCAGCTTAGAAATGTAGGCACTTACAACTACTGCTCTACAGATAAAACCATAAAATGAAATAATGTATATATTTTGAAACTAATACTGGGTGAAACAAATCAAAACAGTGGATAGTTATGTCAAAATCTTATCTCATAGTAATAGTATCACAGTGAATGTTGCTAGTCTGCTAAACTATTGTTCCGAAATGTTCTTCAATTCATGGCCACAGAATATAAATAATGTTTCAAACTGCAGTGATAGCAACATGTTAGTAGAGAGAACTTTATTCATAATTAAAAATATAGACAAGTTTGAGTTACCTGTGAATTCTGAACTTGAATATCACTTACTTTACTCTTTCCTTTCCTCCACCAACGATGTTCCTGATTCTGACTGAGAAATGTGTGATATTTCTTTTAGGACAGAATTTGTTGATGAAGATTCAGATTCAGTTTTTGAAGTTTCATATTGTTCTTCACTGGTATGAATTTGTGCCAGTTTATATTTCATTTTCTCTTCATCTACGCTAACATGCTTGGACATTTCTGTTGCATTACTATCGATAAGAGTACAATTTGCTGACGAGTCACTGTCTTCATATAAACTTCCAGACACATCACCACTCATTTCAGTTTCTAATTCTACTGATTGAGTACCTTTCTGAGGGCTAGAGGAGACTGTGCTTACAGAGTTGGTTTCTGAAGAATCTAGCGCTGGATTTCCACTTTCATTTGTGGTGGATCCGCTTGAGTCATGGTCAGTCTTCTGGGGGCTATCAGACAACGAAGAAGAATCATTAAGCATTTTGTTATCTGTTTCCCTTTCACCATTTGTATTAGTTTCAACAGTAGAAGAACATTTTTGTTCTGAACTGCTCAATGCTGGGCCTGTTCTGTTAGTACTTTCATCTGCTCCTGCAGTCCCCTTATTGTCCCCATTAATACGTTGGGTATTTGCAAGTTGATCTTCATGAGCTATTTTAACTTCCATACTATTAGAATCACAGTTACTAACAGACCCTTCACAATCTGGCAGATCTGTCAAAGAACCTTCTAGATGTTCTTTCAACTGATTATTACTTTGATCAGTTTCATCTGCTCTGTCAGTTTTAGGAGCTACTTCACTAACTTCTCCACTATTAAAATTATCATTAACTGACCCTTCGCAACCAGTCATCTTTTTTAATGTACCCTCTAAGTGTTCTTGGAACTGTCGAATAGTTTTATCAGGTGATGTTTCTAACTCGGTTGGTGACAGTCCTCTTGAAATGCTTCCTGGTACAATTCGTTCAGCATGAGACAATTTTCGCAATGGGCTACCCACTGCACCTTGAGACCCTTCTGTAAAGGTCACTTTGCTAGGCATTTGCATTTCAACACTGAAGTCTTTTATTATTTGCTCGCTATGCTCTAAAGTGTGCTTTGTTGCTTCATTCTTTTTAGTAGAAAACTGTTCACCGTTTGGGGTTACAAAAGTTTCAGATTCTGTAGAAAGAATTTCAGATTCAGTAGAAACATCCTTCTCTTTGGGTACACTTAATTTTTCAGTCTCAATTTCCTTCTCACCTGTTATTGAAGTTTCAGCAAAGTCATTTACATCATAATCATGTGCTTCCAGGATTTCATTTCCTTTATCATTTGTAATTAAATTTTCTTCCTTCGTTTCACTATTTGGAAGCACACTGACTTCAGATTTTTGTTCATCATAATCAACCGAAATTTGTTGTTCCCCTTGATCCATCACAGAATTTTCAACCATCTCTTTTACAATTTCCTTTGCTATTTCATCTGACATTTCAGGATCACATTCTTCATTTTCTAATTTTAAAGAGGGATTTTCTTTCACCATATTAGTTTTCTCTTCATGCAATGCACTAATAACTTCTGAATCAATGTCTGCACTTTCTGAGCCAATAACTTCTGCACTTTCTGAATCAATAATGACTTCTGTTTCAGAAAGTATTTCCACTTCAGTTGAACTACTTGTGTGTGAAACATCTGGGAGATTCAACTTCTCAGAGCCAGCTTCTTCACAACACTTCTGCAACATATAAGTCACATCACTTCCATTCAGTTCTAAACTTATGACCAAAGGATCACTGTCCTGATGTATTGTAACTTTGTAGGAGTTGGTACCATCACCAAATATGTTAATAAATTCTCCTTCGGCTTTTTCAGGCCACTTTTCTAAACCTTCAGGCAAAAGCAATGAACAACATTTAGCTAACGGAGGGATACAACCCAAGTCTTCTGGAATGCTATGTACTTCTGTAACCAAGGCAGTATTACCATAATCTATAAAAAGGACTTCAAATCTTTGCTCTTGGCATGATATAATTCTCACCCTATACCATTGTTCATCTTCTGGAAACTGTGCTACACACAGTAGTCCATCAGTAAACTCTTCGAGAGGGTCAAAATTTTCAGCATCAATTAGTTTATCTGTAATCAATTCTAATTTAGAGGCTTCTGTCTGCCAGTGGATCCAAAATTCACAAGGATTATTTACGTGAACAATTGTGGCAAACAAATCTCCCTCACTAGGGGGTTTAGGACAAGAAACACAAAGTTTACCCAGCATTTCATTTACATCATTATCATTACAGGTCAACTGAACTTCAGAAGGTTCACCCGCAGATAAGACAATCATCTGAAAAGTCTCTGTACCATCTCCAACCAATTCAACAAACTTTTTATCAGCTTCTGATGACCAACATTCTACACCTTCTGGAAGCTGTAATTGACAACACTTTGCCACAAAAGGTTTAGACACTAATTCCTCGGGCAAAATTCGCAAATCAGAAACTATAGAAGAATTGCCATAATCAACAAATAATACACTATAGCTGTCATCACAAAGCTCCATTATCTTGGCACGGTACCACTGTTCATCATCTTCAAAAAGAGCTGCATATACATTCCCAACTTGCACATCACTGACAGGTTCAAAATCAGCAGATTGTATAAGAAGATCCGCCAAATTTTGCAATTCAGAAGATGCATCTTCCCTTTGAATCCAAAATTTCGCAGGAGAAGTCACATGAGATACAAAAACAGTTTCGCTTTTCACAACATCTGGTTCAGTTGCAGCAGTTGTAGTCGCTGCAATGCTCTCAGCTTCTCTTCTTTCAATTACTGCTTTCTCCAATTCTTTTTCTCCCACAAATAAAGATACTAGAACAGGATCATTGCCTCCAACAACTTGCAATTGAAATACTGCTTCTGTGTCTGACAAAATTTCTGAACATGTCTGAGACAGTTCTTTATTTTCTAAAAATGAATCATTTGAGAGACGACATCTAACAGCAAAATGTGGCCAGCGGAACAATTTAATTGGCAGTTTTCTAAGAAATTTTGGATCTGTTTCATAATCATTTCCATAGTCCAAGAAATGGACTTTTGCACTAGTCTCGCTCATTTCTACAACTTTAGCACGATACCATGCTTCATCTGAAAATTGGGCAACACACACAGTTCCCACTTCAACACTTGACAATACTGCCTGACTAGAACTGATGCACTGCAAAGTTGACTGCAACTCTAAAATGTCCAAGAAATTAGAATCCATTTGCACCCAAAACTCAGAACTTGATTCAAAATGGGAAATGCTCACATCAATCTTTTCATTCTCTGGAAGAGAAACTTGTTTACTAAGGAAGAAGGACTCTGTTTCAGAACCCATGCCAGACTTAACAAGATGATGAATTACATTTGTGTCATCATTCTCCATGTGTATCAACCATTTATTTTCTGAATCCTTAACAAATGAAACGTCAAACACAGTGTCAGCAGTAATGTTCTCAAATTCTGCCAAACTTGTTTCATGGTCCTGTGTGGTAATTGCCAGAGATGCACATACTGACAATGCATGTACACGATAGAATGATGGACACAGTTCTTTGACATCATCTTTTGCCAAAGTTTCAGAATTTCCATAATCAATATAAACAACAGAAATTTGATCATCAGTTACACTTTTCACTCTTGCCCTGTACCAACTACCATCTTTGGAAGACTTTGCGGCACACAACTGATCTTCTTGTGGATCACCCAACTCAACTCCTTTACCTTCTTCATAAAAATTGAACAACAGTTCTAGTAAACCACTTAACATCTCAGCTTCACTCTCCTTTTGCAACCATATCTCGTTCAACGTCTCTACATGCGACACCCACATTCGTAGTGTATGAACCAAAATAGGCATAGGACATAATGGTTCAACATCCAAAGGGGAAGATGTATCCACATTTTTCAAAATTTCAAGCCCTTGCCCTTCAATGTCAAAAAGATGGACAGACAATCTGAAAAAATAAAAAAAATAAAAACAATGATAAGCAAAACACCATAAAGCAAATGCACAGTCAGGGAAAAATAGCTCAAAAACTTCAATAGCTCATTATCTTCAATCTGAATCCTCACTCCATCATTTATCTCCTTCAAGATCTTCATCAAGAGCCATTTTGATTTTTGTATTTTGTTACTTCATGAAAGTGCATCACATAATGATAAAAAATATCTATTAATTTGCATAAGACCATTTTCAGATATTTTTTATTATTATATCACATATTGAAAGACCCATTCTACAATTGCAAGAGTTTCAAATTTATTCAGAACTAGCTATTTCCTCACCTTTCATTTACAATGTCTCCAATACTTAATATGACATCTTGGGCTTCCACTTCCACTTTGAAGGTTTCCTCAACATCTTTGCCAACTTCACTTACTTCTGAACCCGCGACAAAACATTCTGTAGCTTGATGCCTAAATCCCATTAATGATTCCGGAATTTGGCGAATCTGTAAAGAAAGAGTATCTATTGATATACTGTAGAAATTTCACTATTATTGCTTTAAAAATATAATTTAAATTAAAAGTCAAAAAATAAATTCAGAAATTTTAATTACTTCCAAGTGGTTTATAAAAATTCTTCACATTGTGTATTACAGATGTTTCATTACCTTTTAACAAATTGTGTTCTGAATAATGGATACTCATAATGCTGACGGATAATATTACTCTTACTAACGATAACTGAAAACTGAAATCTTAATAACAGAACTTCCTGCTCACTCATATTGTTGGAATTCTAATTTTCAGGTTTGAGATAAGATTCTCATTTCAGAGTACCAAATCGAACACTGAAAAGTTGTGATAAGAAAACAAATCAACATTACACTGAATAAATCAGTCCTGTATATTTCATTTCCGGGGAAGTTTATTAATGCGACACACTATTTTCATTCCGCCATATTTCTGAAAGCTTGAGAACGTGTGTTTCATATCTTCAAAGGAAACTTTAGAACGAAGAGTTTGCTTTGAGGTAATATTTTTGTAAGTAGCTCTGTGGTGACTCCTGGGCAGCTAAGGGTTCGAGCTTCTCATGGTTGGATCCCAGGTTCAATTTCCAGTTGGGGCAAAAATAAAAGGGTTGTAGCCGTGCACTAAAAGCACAGGCAGAGTTTGCTAAGGCAGAGTTTGCCAAGGCACCCCCCCCCCCCAAGGCATGGGAATTAAACTAGGCCCAGGCATGGGGGGCAACCCATTAGCTAGGCAGCAAAATTGGACAATCAACCTAAAATATCAAATACGTTCATACATTTTTTTTAAAGTTTATTTTAAATTTAAATGATTAACAACTTTTCAATTCTGTATCAGTCCTGCTTTCCAAGTTTGAATATGTCCCCTCTTTTTATTGAAAAATAATTTCCCTTTCTATCAAAACATTACGCTTCACAAATTAAAACTACTCTCCCTAGGGAACTCTACTATAGTCACTCCAAGATCTTCGCCAATCATTTTTCCTTTCATCATCATCATCATCATCATCATCATCATCATCATCATCTTTTGCTTAGGCAGATGGCAGATCTATTATTTACCTTCATATATATTTCATTCCTAAGAATATCATTGATTTCCAGTTTCGATTTTTAAAAAAATTACAGTAACTTTTGTTCCAGTCTCAGAAAACGTTGCACTTACAGAACAAACTCTGCCGCAACTTCAGCACTGCCAATTCGCATTTAGGATATTTATTTCAATTGATTTATGTACAATTTGTCATTAGAATACTACTACTAGCACTCAAAATCTGAAATTATTGTTAAAAATCTCTGTTCAAATTTTTATCTGTTCAAGTTCTGTTCAAGTTTTATCTTATGAAATTAATAACTAAACAACATGTTTTATGGTTAAATTATGTGAATAAAAAAGATCAAAAGCAATTGTAACTCTATGTAACTAATGTATCATACAAAACAATATACAAATACAAAAAGTTTCTCGCATTTCTAGCAGGTTTCCTTGCAATTTAATTTTATTATCTCCACACAACAAAATATCTCGCTCCTAATTTTTATTGCTGATGAATTTTTATTGGTCAAATTGATTTTTTGTAAAAATTAGTATAATCCCATTGATCAATTTGTTATACTAATACACATTTAATAAATTCATTAACTGCAATTAAAACTAATGAAATTTGAAATAAACAATTCATTACAATTCGTCAATTACATTTCTGAACATAAAAATCTCACCTTATCAACTGGAATGTCATCACTGTCTCCAAAATCAACAAAAGTAACACATACACCTACAGTTCCAGAAGTATCAATGATTTTTCCTCGGTACCATTGATTCCCATCTGGTGTAGCTAGGCACATCTGATGATCGACCATATCTGCTTGCAGAAGGAGTGCAGTATCCTATTGGATATCACACAAACATTTATTAAATGTATTACAAAAGAAATATTGCACCCCAACACAATCAAGAACATACCCATTTTCCCAATTAAAAAAAAAAAATCCATAACCATTTTCTCAATTAAAAAGAAAAAAAATTGTTACATTTGTAACAAGCTTTGAAACCAGTGTACACATTGTTTCTCCATTCTCTTTTTATGCCATTGATATGGCCACTGAGTAGAACCCTGACAATTATGGACTATATACATTCGGTGACGGGATTCAAGAGGCAAGAAAGAGTAACTGGCCTCCCGATCTTGGGACAAATTAAAAAAAATAAAATATTTAGACATTTCATTTCGCAGATCTTCAAATTTATATCATAAAAGATTTACTTGTTTCTGTATTTTGAGAAGAAATTTAATAATCATTAGGCGAACAATAATTTTATTAAGCTAAGCTAATAAATCTACATAAATAAATTGATGAATACTGAATTGATGGTTCAGTATTACAAAAACGCGGGATAATGTTCAATGTAACAGAGAATATCCCTTATTAATAAATACCCTTAATTAAATTTTACTTCTCAATGTTATTTACTTACAACTTAAAAATGTATGTTTGAGACTTATGAAAATTAAGTTGTGAGACTACACATTAACAAGGTGTGTGTTGCATCACAATGCACAGCTTTAATCTTTTTGACCAGTAAAAACATTCCTGGGGCCTGTCATTTCCTTTATTTCCTCAACTTGAGTCGATGTGACTTTTTTTCTCTTCCCAAGAAAAATCAACTAAGGGACATCCATTTTGAGAGGATGGAAAAAATGTGAATATCCTTAGCCAACCATTTTGGGTTATTCCAAGTTCCAGCGCTGCTATGAGAAATGGAAAAACCATCTCAGTGACATGTAGCTTCCCAAGACAGTTACTTTGAAGGAGACAATGTTGAATTGTATTTTTTTAAATAAAGAAATTGGGGAAAAGACAATCACATTACATTATTTACACACCACATAATTTAATTTTTTAAAACTATTTTTGCATTAGTATTTTTTTCTTTTCCTATTTCAGAGATTTACACAATGCCAGAGATGAAAGGTGGTCAGCATCTAGCAACTCTGCTTTTAAAGAACAATACATTCTAAAACTTTGTCGAATTGAGGAAAAAATATTAACCACTGAGAATTCAAACTTAAATCATACATTTTTACAAACTTCAAGTGTTATATCAAGTTGTCCTAGAAAATTACATAATGATGCCAAACATAAGGTTCAGAAAAATTTTAAAGAACATGAAAATGAAATCTTCACGTAAAGATCAAGAATATAGTAGTTAGTGACAGCAAGCAAATGGGAAGTATTTAAAAGTTAGAAAAACAATTAGTAGGATATCCAAGTAAAATTGCACATAAATATTATTGTCCAAGTTAAGTTCTATGAAAATTGAAGTATTAGAAAGTATATTCAATGAAAATTGGAAAGGACAGTCCATGGAAAATAAGATAGCTTAATTAAAAATCAGTGTTATCTCGCAATGGTATAAAGAAATCGGTAAAGATTGTTCTAGCATGTAGTAGTACATTCCATGGCAAACACAGACGTATGGTTTACCTATGATTCCAAGAAAGAATAAATGGTATTCAACTAATGTTGTACAGGGCAATAATGTACACTGTCATATAATACAGGAAACCACTCACAAGCAAATAACAGGAGTGAATATAATTTAGTGGATCAAATAGAAGAATCATTTTTTATCAGTACAAGCATGAGAAGATACGATATATTGTCCCATTAGTTGGAAACAGGTACACCAATCAGAGAAAACAAGACCTAGAAAAGTACTAACAAAAACTTAAGATGGCAATAGAAATGCAAAAATTCTATAAGGACGTTAGGTCATGGAAAACAACTGACATTCAAAACCATCACATACTAATAATTACCTTATTTTCTGACATGTGCTTATCCACCTTGTCCTGAATGCTTTTGGCTACAACAGGATCCAAGTGCACAAAGAACTTTGATACACTTTCAATAAATGAAACATGTGCAGGAATTTGTTGCTCTTTTAATAATTTCAAAGCCAGTTTTTCTTCTGAAATAACTAAATGACACAATAATTATGTTAAAAAAGACAAAAGAAATTGGTATTTTCTTTTAAACAATTCATAATAGAACATTAAACATATATATACAAAATATAATTTCTACTTCCAACATACCTTTTTCCTCAACTTTACGAAGCGCCAGACCACATGCTACAAGTTCTTCAGCTATATCTTTACCATTGACTTGTAAGGTCACTAAATGTTTTCCTTCTTTATTATCGTAGAAAGTGCATTCTAAATTCTCCGCACCAAAAAGTTTATCGAATTCCACACAGTCTTTGGGCCATTCTGACTCAATTGGATTTATTCCACTCACACAGCACTCAATTGCTTGCTTAGGAAGTACCATAAATCGTTTCTCTATGGGCCAAATATTACTTGAAGCAAGGAGTTCCATATTTCCATAATCAATATACTGAACTTGATACTTTAATCCTATAATTTCTTTAATTTCTGCTCTATATAATACCTTATCAGCAGGGAACTGAGCAATGACAGGGAATCCCACAGACAGCTCTCCTTTGTACGGTGCCCTTCCTTTATAAGATGTCTGTATATCATTCACCATGGATACAAATTCAGCTCTCGTTGAGTTGCGCTGACAAAAAAACTGGCCAGGATTTATGAACCAAGTCACAGACACAGTATCTGTTTCCATTGAAGTAAACTCAAAAGTAGCAAAACTGTCATCTGAACTAGCATATACTATTTCTGTTTCAGCTGAATGTTTAAAAGCTGACTTTTGAAGTGGAAGAGCTTGCTTAACGGTCTTCTTGGACATTCCTTCTTCAATACTTGCTTTTAATGCACCAAACTTTTCATTAATGGACGAACTTGGGTCCTCAGTATCAAACAAAACAACTTCAAACAGTGGCCCTTCTTTCTTAATAAAGTGTGCTTCTAGTTTTTTCCCATCTGTTAGAGTAAGAAATTCTGTGACCTAAACAACAAAACGAAATACACACAATTACAGATGTATTATCTGTATGTTGTAAGATGAAATGTATTAAAAATACAAAATATGAATAATTTTCAATTTACAGAATTGATATGAAAGGAAATAAAGTTGTGTTTTCAAAAAAATATATAATGTTTTTAAGACACTATTATTAAAATCTATCTCTCATGGGGATTTTATTTACAATGCTTTTTCATCACTTTTGTATAAGTGTGAGTACTAAAACAGAATTGGCTTGATGGTAGTCTTTCAACTTACGATGAAGAAAAAAGTTTGATTTAATCTGTTTTTGGATAAAGGCCATTAATAATTGAATCTATGGTTTTGAAAAGGGAAACAAATCTGCTTGGCCTAACTCATGCTCATGTAAACTATTCACCTCATGTATGAAACATGGTCCGATGTAGGACCACTTACCTGATCAGATGACCATTCGGTAACAGGAACCTTTACAGCAAACAAACTACATGAAACTCCAAACAATGGAATGTTTAAGAATTCAGGTACAACTTCTTTTATATCACTTAACGGTACTGCTTCATGGTTTCCATAATCCACAAAACGAACTTCTGTTACACCTTCACTTGGAGCATTTGCAATTACAGCACGATACCATGCATTATCTTCTGAATAACGAGTTATACAGGGAGTTAAAACTTTCTGATTATCTTCTGGAATAACTGCTCCTCCAGATTCATACACTGTTGATATATTCTCCATCATTTTTGTAAGATCATCAATCCTTTTGTCTGCCTGCACATTAAAGAAAAAACAATTTTACATCATACTTATTCGCTACAAATAAGTAATAATGCGCAACGTAATTTAGATACACCTTAAAAAGAAGTCAAATGATGGATAGATATTGTCTGTACACTTTAAAAAAATTCCTAAAATAAGGCAAATTTTAAAAATTAGTATTTACATTGTAACAGCAATTACTGTTTATGTCAAATTTAAAAAAAAAAAAAAAAAAAACATCTTAACATCAATTATTTGGTCAATGTCTCAACTTTATTATTTTCAGTCCTCTTAGAAAGATATATAACCTCTGTTTATATTATGTAAGACTAAATTAATAACACTGAACACACTACTATAATACTTCATGAAATGGCTAACATGAAGCAAAAATGTAAAACAAATTTTCATTTGATTTACAGGTAATTTATATCAACCCTAAAATGGGCATGCTGGTGAAATCCAATCGAGCCTTTTGCTCTCTCACACCTGAAAAATTCAACACTAAACTACACCACACTAAACATCTTGGTATTTTTCTTTCAACAATAATATCCACAATGCTTCAATGGTATACGAGTTCAGTTTTTAATCCTACTTTCCAAAAGACTGTATTATTATACGAGCCCACAAGTTCAGCAAAATGCCTTTTACGAGTAGTTATTGTTATGATTTTAAGTCTTCACAATAGAAATAACTTGTCTTCTAGAGTTGTTTTAGGAGATTTTCATTATATCCACATTAACTGTCAAAACCTATTTTAAGTATTTTTCTATATTTTGGGCTTTTCTTCCTTTTTCGTCATTATTTTCTTTCTTTTTTCCTGGCACAGATCTTGATAGAGATGGAAATATTTCCACAAGCCTAGACAACACGAATATTACATTTTGTGTTTCTCTACAAGCAGAGAACAATAATTGGCAAAAAATGTTGAACTTGGGCTTCTCACCCAGAAAGTGTTAAAGATCTCTACAAGAAAGAACAAATTTTGAATTCTTGCATGGATATTGACAAGCGGAACCAAAGCTAGGTTATTTTGCGCCTCAGGCAAAATGAGATGTGTGTGGCAATTTCAAGTTTCAAAAGTTCAATGCTGGCAATTTCAAGTTTCAAAAGTTGAATGCTGGCAATTGCAAGTTTAAAGTACAAAAACAATGGTGCTCACACACTTATGCCAAAAGAGAGTCCACAATGACATTTTGTACAGACAGAATCGTAAGTGAAAGAAATTCATAACCACCATACTGAAATGTAGTGAACTACTAATAATACATTTCAGTTTAGAGATAGAATACAAATTGTAACATTTTATTCATGATTTTTTAACAATAAATCCTTTTAAATTGTGACTTTTTACTGTTTACATCCCTTTTTCAAAGCATATTTTAGTAAAAAATAATACCTTTTTGCCTGCCTATTTTAGATATCTTAAATAACTGACTTTTTGGGCCCTAGTGATAATGAAAATAATTTTAAAATTCTGGAACTTGATTAACTCTTAGACTGCTACGGGCATGCTTACATCGAGTCATACAGTGTGAGCATTATGTATTGTTCTCTGTGCCCCTCTGTATCGAGTCCACTGGTCATGCTGAGCTCAGCCATATCAGTCGCGGTAGCTTTGAGGTAAGGAAGCAAATCCAATCGCAGACATAGAGAAAAATTTGAAACAACTTAACCATCGTACGGCAAGTAAAGCACATATAATAGAAAGAAAATACAAGGATTGGATAAAAAGTAATGAGATATGTTATTTTTTCTCTCTGAAATGATTTTACTGACAAAGGTGTACTTACATTTACACACATTCAATACAATAGCCTCCATTATTAATGACTTTTTGCTCAATGATCAAAAGGCATTGCACACCATCTCTGTGAATTTCTGTTTATGACCCCCCGTATTGTAGCACGACTAATTTCTTCTCTGGTATCGTTCTGGGTTTCTCACAGTGGTTCTTTCATTTTGCTAAAGAGATCATAATCACACTCGTATTGGGTGAGTACAGTGGATGTTCCAGAATCTCCTATTGTCAGCGGTGCAAATGTGAGTTCTCCATGCGGGGCAGACCTGTTCGGGGGTTATCCTTCACAGTATCTCTGCCTAATCTGAACCTTCAATCTAACATGTGACTGGAGTACGGCAATGCTGCATCACCACCTGCATCACACAGTTCCAGAAAACATTCTTGCTTACTCCAACCTTTGTGTCACTTCAATTTTGAGCCGCAAATGTTGCTCTACCTATGTAAACATCATGTTAGGGCGCTCGCCATATAGCTACAACGGTCAATGATTTACACACTACAGTAGACAGACGAGTACTGTTTCTGTTTCGCACGATTGAAAGTAAACGGTGATAGGAAAGTGTCAGGAAGACAATAAATTTCATTTTATGAGGTAGTCCCTAGTGAGAGACAAGACTTCTCAACCCTCCTTGAAGCTCACTCTAATGATGTGCAAACAAAATTTAAGAAACAAACTTTAGTTGTTTCTACATAGATGGCTCTGAACCAGACAATAAACATTCGTATTCTAGCAAAACCCCTAACCCACTCATAGATAAGCGAGACCAGTGAACCAGAACATCAAAATATTAAGTTAGAGTCCTGAATCAATGTAATACCAATACAATCATCTTGAAAAAGAGACCCACACCATTCTTTTAAGCATCCCTTCTTCTATCTTTGGAAAAGGTTTGAGGAGGTGTTCGAGAAAAATTTCAGGCACAAATTACACGAAATCTACTCATTTCTTTCCAAAAAATTGTACATGATCTTTTTAAAGAGATGATTCGTTACAACAGACTTCGTTGAAAGCAAAAATCTCTATCTTATATTTTGTAGTTTTGAGATGTTAACTTTTTGCACTTTTTCGAAAATATGCAGTTTCCAGACAATAGAACAAGCACCAATTTGTATTATTGTCTTTAGATAGATACAAAGAGGACATTTAAAGAAAAAAATTTTTTCTATATTTCATACAAAATTAAAACGGAAATACTCATAATTTAAAAATCTTGTACTTGACCTTACTTTAAGATCTTTAAAAAGTAGATTTCATTACAGAAAAAACTGTCTTCAATACTGTAGTTGTAGAAAGATGGGGGGAAATTGAACTTTTGCAATTTTTAAAGTCTGGGATTTTAATGAAAATGTGACCTATACTATTATTGTAAGAGTCCTTTATGCTATCTGGGGATAAAGTATAATCAAAAAAGTTAGTGCCATTTTTGAGAAAATTTCAAATCTTTTTGAGGCTTCACGTAAAGAAATACTTTCAAAGATCAAAATATCTGGTTGAAACACCCAAAGCTTTCAGTTGGTTCAGCTAATTCAGAAATAGCAATTTTGCACAAAATTGACTGAACGGTTAAGGAGCTAATGTTAACCAGAAGCAGATGGGTGGACAGACAGAACCTTTGTCCTGCTAGACGTTTTGCCATCAATTGCTTGTTCAGTACCAAGGACACACAAAACATGGATTCTGGCTACACCACTGTTACAGGGCGTTATTTAATATAAATAGCAAGCGGATTTAACCACCTTTTCGTTTCCAGGGCCTGGCATTAAGAGTTTTTCTGCAAAAAATTTGCAGTTTTCCACCACAGAATTACAAAATTTTTCCTTCTTATAATGTGCAAGAAAGTCGAAACAAGCTAATCCCAATGGCCTTTGTACTAACACAGCATTGAATGCATACAGAGGTAGTCAAGAATGAGTAGGTAGCTCTAGCACTACACTGTGGAGTTCTTAAAAATATTAACAAGGTCAATATAAATGTAATATAAACGTGTAATGTAAAATAAGATATTAAAAACAGGAAGTTATGGTATTCAAGCCATTCAAGAGCCAACATTTTATCACATAGGGAAGGTTCAAGAAAAAAAGACCAAAAGATTTCTCATATTTTAGATCGAGATACAAGGTCACAAAATATTACAGATCTTTTTGCTCATAACAATTTTTCAATTTTGAATGAACATTCTATATTTTTAAAAAATTCTGAATAGTCATTGCCATTGTTTGTCCTTGAATCAACATTTATCACACAGTCCGCGTTTCCACAATAAATAACAAACCGCAACCAATAATAAAATGATCTTTCCTTCCTCTTTCCTATTAAAGGTTGACTGGCAAATATAATATCCGAGAGCATTTCTATTTTGGGAATTAATCGGTAGTAGGGAAAAGGACGAATTAGAATATGGAGTAACAAATTGAAAAACAAGACCTCCAGAAATACGTTTTATTAGAATTGAATATCTATTATTATTCGGCAAATTTTGAATGCAGACATGCATCTCAATTCATCTTCAGTTTTGTGAATACTTTGTCTCAAGTACCACCTGTTACAACTACACTCTTATAAGAAAACTGGTGAAAAACGTGTGAAGATTTCAAATATAATATATAAATTACACGAAAGAGATAAGTCAAGAGTTAGGAGTAGAAGATACTTGAAAGTTAAACGAAAAGTCAAAGAATTATTATTAGAGTATACGGTTGCGAATTTAATGGTAATATTATTAATATACATTAAATTTCCTGATAAAAGGACTACAATGTCTTGGAATAAACATGCTCGAGTTCATTAAGGTACAACTTTAATATTCAAAACCATTATATATACCTTTTTATTACAATATAATAATACAATATTTAATAATTTATTGATTCCTGTAATTTTGCCCATGCTATTTCCAACTCCACTTTGGAACACATAGCTTTTCCATTTGGCTTCCAGTTCTTCTTCTTTGATTTTCAGTTCTGTCTCGTTTATTTTTAACTTGATTTCATTAACTCTCACCTTCCATTTTGTTTCTACAGGTCTGTGATGTAGCCATTTGTTTGACTTTATCATACACTCCACAGTTCTTCAACGGCGTTTGCGTCTAGAGCTGCATGGTGTGCTGTATGTAGTCTGGTCTGGATTGTTGATGTGGATTTGGCTCCTTAGGCACAGGCGAATGGAGCTTATTTGCCATAGTATTGGCTTCACTAACTTCATGGGCCAGTGAACATTTACCCTGTTAATTTGATGTACTTCAATGAATATCAGTTTAATTCCCCCTATTTAATTCCACTCCTTGGCGTAGATCAATCTCAATCTCACACACTGGTATTTCACAATTATTCATTGGCAATTCTGGCAATTCATAGTTTGCATCATTGTCGAATACATTAGTCAATGGAGTGATTTGCTCTCTTATCAGATCAAGAACCCTCTCATTCACAGGATCTAGTGCCTCACCACCAGTTTTGTATATGTTAACCTGAAAGTTAAGGTAAGATGACACACACGAAAATTAATTCAGCATTAAAAATCACCTTTTTACTATTGTTATAACTTACTTTCTGTGCACTTTTCATGCCTTCCCCTTCATGCCATCATAAAGTGTTCTCAGCTGGTCCACCTTGCATTTACTGCAATCTATTTGAGCAATAAAAGTTAAGGAAATTTGTTCACAGCTATCGAGTTTCACTTTATTTGTAATTTTGTTTCTTCCTTTGTTCTCGATTATGCGAAATGTTGGTCCATGATTTCTAAGAGCATCATTTTCTCTCTCTCCGTAAAATATTTACCTTTAATTCTTTTCACTTTCTCCTCTGTGTCAATTTTACATGATTCCATCGATTTTCACTAAAACCTCTGAACTGCTGAGAACTGAGACACTTGGGAACAACCTAACAAGACAAGAGCGTTCAAAGGAAGTTTGTAGTCAAAGAGAGTCGTGCGGAAGGACTAGTAGGCTTTAGACTTTGTCAAATAACTGCTACAACCTAGAAAACTATTGTTCATTTCATGAATTTCTTTTTAAAGAAGGAGTAGTAAATGGTTTGTTAAATGTCACTCTTGCAACGACCTACTCTTTAAAGGGCCATGTAGTTTTAAAGATATGTTTGCAAACAATGGTATAAAATGTTACAGAATGTCTTTCATGCAACCCACCAACAGTTTAGTTGACCAAACCAAATCACACTCGTGAATACACAGAACTTTTGAAAATATTATAGTATCTACAATACCTGCAATACAAAATTTGTAGGATCATCAGCAGACACAAGTGTAACATTTTCTTTTGTTCCAATGATTATGACACTATCAGGATACACCTGAAAAGATACAATAAATAATTTTAATAACTATTACAATATGCCGTATACATAGCACATTTTATTCCCTCACATACCTTAGCACCAATACCCAAATTATTGACTCCTGCCGCAAAAGTAGATGTACCACCATCATTCCAATCTTCTTCAGTTTTGCTTGCAATATTACTTGCACCCCAATTTTCTGATGCTGCAGCACCTTGATCTAAAGAAATTGTACTTACTTTTCAATTTAATGAAAGTAAAATATACAACAAAAGTCTTAGAAATTAAAATGGCACAATACACTTACCTTTCCATGATTCAGTGTTTCTTCTATTTCCTCGATCCCCATTATTCCATTTCTTAAATTCTCCAGTATTTGAATTTCGCTTGTCATGACCCCATTTCCGTTGATCCTCACCATCATCCTTTCTATTCCATTTCTTTTCAGGTTCACCTCTATCATCATGAGCCCAATATTTCCTATCTTCCTGACCTTGATTATCACGTTTTCTCCAATTTCGGTCCTCATTATCTCTACTAAATTTCCTGTTATCTCTTTCTTTTCTATCATCACTGTCTTTGCCAAATCCTCTTTTGTTATCTCTATCTTTCCAATTATCATTATCTCTGCCAAATCCTCTTTTGTTATCACCATCTTTCCAATCATCACCATCTCTGCCGAATCCCCTTTTGTTACCTCTATCTTTCCAATCATCACCATCTTTGCCAAACCCTCTTTTATCATCACTTTCTTTCCAATCATCACCATCTTTTCCAAACCCTCTTTTATTATCCCTACTTTTCCAGTCTTCACTCTCTTTATTAAAACCTCTTCTACTGTTGTCTCTTTCTTTCCAGTCTCCTTTATTAAATTCTCTTTTGTGATTTTCTTTGTCCTTCCAGTCATCATCTCTACTAAACCTTTTGTTTTCTCTATCTTTCCAATCACCACCATCTCTATTAAAACTCTTTCTCTCCCAGTTCTTGTCGTTGTTTCTCCTATCCCCACTCTCCCATTTCTCGCTTCCTCCTCTATCTTCACGATTTTCCCATCCACTACTTTCATCTGGTTCTTCTTTACCCCATCTTTTTTGTTCACCACTATGATCACCTCTACCCCATTTCCTGTCATTTGAATTTTTATCATCTCTATTTCCCCACTTCTTTGATGTATCTCGCGATTCATTCCAGGAACTGCTCTTTTTAGTTTCTCCTTTCCAACCTTCTCCACTTCCATCTTCTAGTTTGCTAAAAATAAAATAAAACAAACATATATAAAAAAAATATACATAATATTCCACAATACAAGTAAAAAAATAAAATGTTCATGAATATTCTTGAAACTCAGCTAACATATAAAAACTCGTAATATAAACAACACAACAAAGATGGCACGTAACAAAGAAAGCCAGAAACATCAAGTATAAGAAAAAAAATACTCTCACAAACTGACAAACGACCTATAAAGTAAAACACACACACACCATTACAAATTCTTTCAATACACATCCTAGATGCTAATAAATTTTGCATTAAAGCACATTTTTCCATCACACAAAGAAATAACTGCACCCAGCAATAAGAAATTAATAATTCGTGCTCTGGTTAAATCACTGAGAATACTTCTCAGATCTAAACATGGGTGGAAAAGAAAAGTGAGAATTAAAATAATCAAAATGCTCACAGCACATCTAGTAGTAAAAGTAACTACAAGCAACTCTGAGGTGACAAACAAAACAGCACACCATAGTGAAATTTCTTTAGGCAGCATTAATCAAGAATCATGCAGATGGCAGAAAAAAACTAATGGTGCTACAACAGCACATATTAGTGGTAATGTTACATAATATTATAATTTTGCACCTTCTATCCAACTCAATTCAGCCATACATGGAAAGATTAACGATTTGGTAACTCAAAATTGTACACGAACTACCAATAATCTGAAATAACTATACATGAAATGAATTAAAGATCTAATATCGTGGAATAAATTGCATTAAGGAAGGAAATACTTCCTTCAATAGTGGAGGTACAAGTCGAGGATAACGCAGGAAACTAACTGAAGAAAAAAAATAATTTTTTTTTGAGTTTTCATTCAGGGAAGAAAATGTTATCATTAAACTAACAAAAGAAATTGCCATAACCTTCACTCTTATGAATTTTAATTCATTTAACCCTCTTGCATAATTCAGTTTTACTCCACACTAACACAATTGAGTGTAAACAACCCTGTAAGTTTTAACAACTTATTAAACTAAAATAAAAAAATAATTAAAGTTTATCATTTAACTGGAAAGAAACATCTCTATATACAAATGTAGTTTATTTTAATAAGTAATAATTTTAAAGAAACCTTTAAGAAAAGAAGGATTCTAATGCAAGAAAAGATCATAACAGCAAAAAAAAATTTGATTGCTCCCAATTCTTGTATTACAACAGATGTGGGGAAAACACTCTAATAACAAAAGAAAAAGGGAAGAAAGAAAAGCTGAACCAAAATAAAACATAACCAAACAAAAGGTAAAGCTGGAAGGAAGTTGCAAGCTGAAACCTACTTTAACACACAAATTATGGTATACAACAATTTGATACTTGTCTATCTGCGATGAGTTGCGTCAGGCAGTGGAATTCTTCTAATCCATGGTATAAAACAATGAATTTTTGCTTGCTTACAAAAATATTATATATATATATATATAGATATTATATATACTATATATATATTATATATATATATATATATATATATATATATATATATTATATATATATATATATATATATATCCCTAATTTAGCCTGAATATAAATCAGTTATTGGATAAAAAATACTTACAACATACCAGAGTTAAAAATAAAAACATGAAAAATTTATAAATTATAAAAATGAATTCATGATGCAAGAGGATGAAAGTTCAAAAAGTACATTTAGCCCTGTAATTAACTTTCAACACAGTGAAAAACAAAACCATTAACTTCAACTCTCTATAACTCAACAGTTCTACTCGCTATAACTCTCAGTTCTACCAACGATTTCCAGACTTTCAACTTCCAAAGCATTAATTTGAATTAACCTTGAATTAGACTTCTTGAACTTGTGTGTGCCAAAATAAAATGGCAAAGACAGATAAAACCTCAGAGATATCAAAAAAATATTCACAAAAATTAGTAATATAATTTAAAATAGAAATCTGAGAGCAAGAACTAACAAGCTTTGCCTAATATCTTTGTTTATGCATTATTAATTTAATAAAAATGAACTATTTTAGAGTCAAAGAAAATCGTTATTGATGTTAGCATGCATCTTTAGGTTCGTTTCCTATTAATTCTTTCTGGTTCTGAGGTGTATGTAAGGAACAGCAAGGTATATTAGGAAAGTTTTCACAAAGCAGGTGAAGTGTTGTTTTATCTCTTAACAACTACTACTTATTTATTTTTGAGCATATACTTAAAACTGTGTGAATGCAAATTTCTCCAAGTGAGAGTGAGTACATGTATTTGCAGAAGCTTGCACATATTCCTTAATGTGTAAATACTGTATTTTCTTGAATATAAGCCTCTGGCTTTTCAAAAAATTGGACACAGAAAACGGTAGGGAGGGTAAGACAAGTTCCCGAAATATTTTTTTCAAAAATAGTCTTATTTTTCAAACATGTTACAACTGAACATATATTTTTATTTCTGACATCAAGCTGCAATTTTCTTAGGACCAGCTAATAATGAAAGTTGCAGGTAATCAGCAGTATTTAAAGTATGTTATTGGAAAAAATATCCTACTAAGTACATACTTAAGATTTCCAAAAATATTAATAAAAAACTGAAGGGGGCTTATTTTGAGAAAATACATTAATGAATTGAATGGTTGAAAGACTACCCAAACCGTTCACTTTTGGCACCAGGAATAAGTATGTCTCGTTTACTCAAAAATCTCCCTCACATCCTGGCAATTTGTCATTAATTAATTTCACAATGCAAGTACAAACAATTTATGATTTGGGAACTTGTCTGTTAGATTCCTTTTTAACTTCCCTTGCAATTTAATGAGTACCACTATCACTTGTCAATAATAGATGTATTGCTTCCAAACATGTGTATTTTCTCTTCTTCATATATCATACCATCCACATGAAGAAGTGTAATCATTGTGTGAATGTATCTGTTACGTAATGGTCAAGTTGTGTATTTACTCTGTTCTATATGAATACAGTGTGTTTCCACATGAAAGGTATCTAGTTCATTCCTAACCATGTTCAACATTGTCACAATAATTCATTTCATTCAATGAAATTATGATTTCTCATATTGCACGTAAATTCAATTTACGACATGGCTTTTAAAAATATTTAAATTTATATTGGTGACCTTAATATAAGGCTTATCATTCCTCATGGCCAAAAAGTACTAAATGTTTTAGATAAAAAAATTGATTTCTAAAACTTTTAATGGAGGCTGTGAACACTGAAATCAGAATTGGAGAATACTTAAAAAACATTTCTAATAACAAAATGTCAACAAATTAAGTAAAAAAGGGTCAATTAACTTAGGTACACATTCCATTTCACAATATTAAGCTTAAGCAAAGGAAAATCACAAAGCACATTAAAAAGCAGAAACCTTTTGAAAATTCTACTAAGACATTATGCTGAGTGAGTAAATATCCAACAATTTTTTACCCAAACTTTGGAAATGGACTCCTGGATGGCAAGTACTTCTTGTGTTTGGTGTCCTTGAACTTCCGTGCTGATCTGAACAAATGTTTATACACATAAATGAATATATTTTTAATATTTCTATAGATCATAAAATTACAATAAATAATTTCTAAATAATGTTTAAAATTAGTAATTAAAGTCAATGACAAAGCAACAGACTATCTAATTTACGCCTCACAAGCTGTCCTACTAAAAGTAAAAAAAGAAAAGTATAATCTCTCTATATCCGCAATGCTTCAACTCCAAGTTGTACAAAAACTCCAGGAGCATAATCAGTGGCACAATTATTTGATGAAGACTCAATACCAAAGGATAAAAAACAACACAATACCTCTAATACTGCTAAGAAAGGTAATAAGTTAGCCCTTAATACCAAACTAATTAGTCTGACAAGTTCTAAGTGTAAATTTTTGGGCAAGTTTTGGCAAGGAGAATTAATTAATTTGCATTTCAGATGGAATGTATTCCTCTCAATCAATATGGTTTTGTACTAGTGAGAAGTACCACAACAAACTTATTAACAGCCTTGCGTATTTGGACAATGAAATGCCTACTGATGTTGCCTACCTAGATTTCTCCAAAGCCTTTGACATAATCCCTCATCAAAGATTGCTATATAAAATTGAACATATCAGCTTGAGAGAAGATTAGATGTAGTTTTTCTTTGGGGAGGGGGGGGGGCAGAGTTAGGGGCGATGGTGTAATGGTTAGTGTAACCAGACTGTTTGGCCAAAGTTGGCAAGTTGGTCAAAGCCAATCAAAAGACATGGATTTTAATGGCGGAAAAATGCTTTGAACGCCTTCCTTCAGTAAAGCCGGCTGTCTCATGTTAGTAGATTTACTTGCATGTAAAAGATCCTCAAGCCTAAATGACGACTCTAAGCAAAATTTAAATCACCTGTTTCTCGCCCAAGAAATACCTCCTTTCTTCGCTAGTTGGTGAAAGGAACATAGCGAAATTTGCGTGGTCAGACGGAAGAGCGGGCCTGATGACCCGAGTCTTGCCACATAAAATAAGGCATTAATTCAATTCAATTTAGTGTGAGATTAGGAAACGACATCTCAGCACCAAGAGCCATTTGAGATCAGACCTTAGCCATACTTTGTTTATTCTGTGCACCAGTGACTTAATCATTCACATGCAGTCAGTCTTTATTGGAAGCAGACAACACTAAGATCTAAAACAACCCCAGCTCCCTGCAACTCAAGTTGCAAGAGCTAAAAAAATGGGTAATTCCATTGAATAAACAAAAATGCAGTCACACTCATTGAAAGAAATAACACTCGATGCCCTTAACACACATTAAAGAATACACAATGATACCAACAAAATGTTAAAATACCTGGGGAATTATGATAACAGAATTGAAGTGGAAATGACACATCAATTTTAAAATACATTGTGTAAGCCACTATTTCTTAAGGGAATGGCATTTAAATTGGTAGACAATATGACACGGAAAGCAATTTTCCAATCACTGCTGGTAACTATACTGCAATATGGAAGTTCATGGAATAAGTAACTGACAAAAGATATAGATCCCCTGGAGAGAACATTTAGAAAGAAATGTATCCCAGTTGGTTTGAGAAGCCCTCCATGATAATGCAGCCACTCAGTACCCACTGGTAGAAAGCAGATATAACAGGAACCTTTAAAATAATAAACACCTTCTACAAAGTCACCGAACACAACTCATTTTTCACAAGAGCTTAGAATACACACTTGAGTGGGCACAATTTAAAACAAAACCACGTTTGAAATGCTCCAAAATAAAAATTGCATTCAAACCAAGCTGTGGTCCATTGGATTAATCTGACACAAGACATAGTCAAGAACAACCAATGAATTTAAATACAGGAGACTTTTCATTTGGGTAGTAACGGTGGTTGAGTCCGTGCACTGTGCTGTAAGTACCTCAGCTCAGAGTTGGTTAGCTCGAATGCACCTGATCTACTGCACTCAAAGAACGTGAACTACAATGAAGTGGAAATAGAATGGAAAGGAATTTGCAAGACACCCTGAAATTATGGCAATTTTTGAAACTTATAGAATACATTGTTTGTGACATTTGATCTTATCTTTCTTAACATTTAGAAAATTGTGTTCTTTTTTTGTAAATTTCTCTTTTATGCATATGTAATTTATGAAGGTTCACGCATGATCAGTTGTACTGCTTCCTATAAACTAAAAACTTAACACCAAAAATAAATAATCAGTGATTGTTAATTACTGAATGTGAAAAACCTGGATTTCAATTTTCATCATTTGGCTGTTGTGTCAGAGGCAATACACACAATATCATAGCAAATTCTTCCTTTAAGACTTAAATCACTACTAGATGAACCCTTGCAATCATAGTGAGGAAAGAAAAGAGCTGTAGGAAAGTTTCTACACGCACTTTATAGAATATTGAAAATCCCAAACATTGTGTTTCATGAAATTTGATACATCTCGAAGACTAATGAAATGAGGTTCATAAATTATGAAACAATATGATCACTGGTAGTCACAGTGAACGTAGAGTTAAACATGTGTCTGAAAATAAAATTAAAAGGTTTTATATTTACCAAGATCTGTGCACGTTGACTTGCGCACGATCTTGTTAATCATTCCAACTTAAAAGCATGTTTCACATATAATTATTATCACCGATTTTTTTCATTTTGTAACATTTTTTTGTGCAAAGGGTCACATGCATCAAAACTGCTTAGCATGGCGTACACTTCCAAATCTTTGCATTCAAAAATACACTTATAACAAAAAATTTTCTATTCCCTGACTAGATTCTGACTCACCTTACGCATGTTGGGCTAGATGATGAAACATCAACTACTTTCGATAGATTACTACTCGCACAAAAAAACCAGAACAATGAAGGCAGATACAATGCAACAATTTCAAAATAATATAACAACTACATAATTAACGGCGAATGACACTGATATAAATAACTTCAAAGAGCAGTCAGCACTATACAACGCAGAGATACATGCACACTTCAATTTTGCAATAGAATTTGGAATTGGTAGAAATCTAATACCTCCAACATGCTTGCAATTTACAATATGTCGGAACACTTACCATACACAATGGAATCTGTGTTCCAAGCCCTTACAAGACTGTTTTTAATTAAGTTTCTTATGCTGTAATGTTGAGAAAGAGTCCCTTCTGAATATTATATTGTTTTTAGCAGCATCACTCTTCTGGGAACCTCTACTCCATACCATGGAGTATACATTTTATATACCATTTGAGATGGGTGAGAAACACACATGATCTCAAATGTTATATAAAATTAAATTGACTATTTTGGTTGATGTTTTAAATCTTTCTGTTAACTTAAAAATAACAATGCTAGCGAAATTGACCTATCTGAAAAAATCTGAGAGTTGCACCCAAAATCATTCATATTCCTGACCTAATTTTTTTTAAACATTTGTGAACATTGGTGAAAATCACACTTCAGACTATCTACATGTATTGCCCACAGTCTTGACTCTCCAGCTGATTTCAGTCAAATTGACAGAGGCAAACCAAATAGATCTTCGATCGACAGCCAATCTTTTAATCGTTAGAAGAGCATGTTTGAGTTCATTATGACTACACCCATTATAAGTGCATGTATATGAACAAATTCATTACTGGCCATAAAAACTTGAATTCAGACAATTGAAATTTCGGCCAAAATAGATTCCAATGTGATTGCCACTTAGCAGCTCACGTTTCAGGCACAGTGAACTTAAACTGAAAATTCAAACAATTCCACATAAACAATACTTCCTAACATACCTTCTATCTTTTCCAAATTGATGAGTCTGCTTGGTTTGAAGAGCTGCTGGTTCTCCCGAAGCAGCAGGATCATGCCATTCTGAAACACACAAGCAAAATACAAATGAACTGTTAACCAAGGAGAATGTCAAAAACTTTAAAAAGGAAATACACAAAAAACACAGCAAGAAGCTACAATTGTTAAAAAGGCTTATGACCTTAAAATAAACTTTAGGAAACCTATAAAAAATAAACTGTTGTCAACTTGACACCTAGTGATAAACTTGCATTAGAATATTACAAATGCAACCTGCATTTAACGAATTTTACCTCTGATTTTCATTAAACCTTTTTTGAAAACTTCCATTTTATCTACAAATAACAAGGAAACACACATTATTCGTTCACCAATTTGTACACACTCACTCCACAAAATATATCAAGCTAAAGTATGTACCACACCTCAACATTCATTTACCCTCAATACATTACTGAGTGATGCATTCGTGAAAATTGGGGAGGGTGGGGAGAGAGGCAGGGCGGGAAGGGGGTACAGGGAGGGCAGGGGGAGAGAGTGAGAGAGGAGGGAAGTAGAAGAAAAAAAAGAAAAAGAAAAAAAAAAGGGGGGGGGGGAAATTATTAATTATTTGGTATCAGGGGACCCTAAATCACGTATTTCAGATGAAAGCCGATGAAACCCGATTGAAGCCGTGCATTTTTAAGGGCGAAAAAATCCTTCATACGCCTTCCTTCGGAGGGGAAGTAAAGCCGGCTATCCCATGTTCGTAGATTTACTTGCATGTAAAAGATCCTCAAGCCTAAATGACGCCTCTGAGCTAAATTCAAATCGCCTGTTTCTCGCCCAAGAAATACCTCCTTTCTCTCCTAGTTGGTGAAAGGAGCGTAGCGAAATTTGCGTGGTCAGACGGAAGAGCGGGCCTGTTGGCCCGAGTCTCGCCACGTAAAATAAGGCAAATTCAATTCAATTCAATGCTAGAAATGCATCTGCAGCGTTACATAAGTTTCTCTACATCACCTGTATACGGAGTAATATATGCACATATACAAGAGCAACAAGAACATTCTACAAATTTCAGAAATTTAAAGATCATGTTTAACTTAATTAGGGCAAAGTATCCAAAATCACTAAACAAAATCTAGAATTTTACCACAACATGCAGTCAGCACACAATAGTCCTAAGCAGTAATAAAGAAAGTCACTGATTGTATGTAACAACCTCTTACAACTTTCTCTTGTAAATTCTGCCGGGAGGGAGGAATTTCTGACTCCTACAAGTCAATACAGGATGATGTTTTTTTTGACACCAATTGATGTTATTGCAACATACCTAATGAAAGCAACATTTGCAAACCTGTTCAAACACACTTTTCTCATCACAAACATAGGTGCATGCAGCCTAAAACAAGAAGGAGACCTCCTACATATCTAGGCCCTTTTAACAAACTCCACAGTTTTGTATTGAGCAATTTTCAGTCTGTTTTTGAATATTTGAAATGATTTTTGGGCAGTTATAGGAGTGATCAACTTTGACATGGCTGCATTTTTCAGTGTAGTTTATTTCATTTATTGACATGTTACGGTAGTGAGCCAATTTTGCATTTTTTGATAAGTTTTCAGGATTATCTATGGAGGGATCAAGTCTGTATTGGAGACCTTTGAGGGGTAAAATGCTGTTTCTTCATGTTTTTGCTCTGAATTCATCCATTACACTACAAGTAACAAATTTACAATTTTTAGTTTAGGATAATATGTGAATTTTCCTTATATTTGATTCCAAATTATATGTATAATTCTTTTAATACAATTTCATGAAGTTTATAGAATGACCAAAATACATGCTATGTAATAAGTCCATAACTCAAACAATTACATATTATCATGTTCATTTTATACACACTCTAGAATTATAAAACACTTAATAAAATTTGCAAATTACAAATATCTAAACAATAAGTAACATCTAAATACCCCAAAATAATAAAATTTAAATAATTGAAAATCTGAAGTACATTCAAAAGCTGGTCTCTTTTCTCAACTTAGTTTGTAATTTTTGGCAATTATCAACCATTTAATGCGAAAAAGTAAAAAACAATTGTTGAAATATATTGAGACCTCTAATTAATGACTTTTTGTCCGTAGACTATCATACAACAACTAGATTTTTATAACTAAGAAAAACACAGAATACATGGTGAAGGGATGCTTTCATGCTAACCACGAACCCCTATTCCGATGGCCAAGATGCTGGGTTACCAGTAGTCGGCCAAAGTCCATAGCAGGCTATCGAGCCATACGACACGACAAAATACCTCAATTTTTCAAATCTTATATCCCTAGACAATAAGGCAAGAACTTTACTCAAACACATATGCATAGGCTAAACGTTTTCATCTGTTTGGCATCATTGTAAATTTAAAAATGTATCTAAACAAATACTATCATGGATTTAACATTCTCAAAAACAAATTGATTTACCACACAAGGCTAAGGCTTTTTTCAAAATTTCCAGGGGAGCCACTGCCCTCCTCTATAACTAATTGATTAATTGAAGTTTTTCGACAAGTCAAATGCAATGATCATTAGTTCTGTTAGGGGCTGTCCATAAATTACATAATGCAAAACTGGGAGTATTTTCAATACCCCTCTCCCCTTGCAACGTACCTATAACATGCCCTTGTAACCCCTGTAACCCCCCCCCCTAAATAATTATGTAACGCTTGCGAATCACACCTCCTACACCCTGTAAATGCAAGGAGTGAAAATAAATTATATATATATATATATATATATATATATATATAACAACAATTTGTATTTATTTTACCTGTGTTGAATATTAAAGAAATCAATAATAAAAGTAGAAATAAGTTAATGATCCTAGTTGCAACTAACAGTAAGATTGGGGCAAGTTGTGAGTGAAGGAAGAATGCTTGGTCAAGAAATGGTTGATCAGAAGCTATATATTTTAATGTTTTAGTAAGGGACTCAAAAAAGGAAGGATTCCTTCATTCTTTCTTTTTGAATCCCTTACTAAAACATTAAAATATATGGCATTTGATCAACCTACCTCTATGTAACGCAGCCTCAGACCCCATGTTACATAACCACACGACCCCTTAGTGGAGGTAATATTTTATCATGGGAGATGGCGATGTCCCTCCCCCACTAGATGGTGAGCTCTGGTATCGGCTTCCACACTGGCTTGAGGGGATTTCCACCTGCAGGCACAGTATCTTCCTCCAGTAGGGCACCACCCCACAAGCTAAGACACAGGCTAAGCTCCCGATTAGTCTTCAGACATTTGTGATTATGTAGTACATGTCATGTCGGTAAGGGATGAGGACAGGAAAAGGAAGAGGAAGGAAAAAACTTGCGCGGTACATGCTCTGCATTCACCAGGTATTAATCCGAGAAGCAACAGAAAATTACCAATCAGAGCAGCTGGTCACGAAAAATTCTCCTCCAGATAGAGGCTGAATTCAATTTATATTCATATTATCTAGTATTGAAAATCCTGCTAACAATGGGACTCAAACCCTAGAACTTTTCAGTCAGAGGCACTGCAATGACATCTGTTGATGCCCTGAGTCACATCTGCCAGTCCCCTTGTGGGCTCGCCTATGCTTAAAAATCATACTTTAGTTTTTAAACTGCTGAAACTACAAATTATCAGTAATACCCTCCTCACATTTGAAACTTAAAAAATTGTTCAAAAAGATTTCTAAGTTATTAATCTTGAGATATTCTCTCAATTATTTCTGTTATCCCTGTAATATAGCAAAATAAGTCTTTGGTCATAATAACATATCATCATTAACACCTTGGTACAAATTTACTTTTTTTAAAAAAATATTTAATAAAATTTACAATTTTGAATAACATCTCTCTATTCATAATTAAAGGCTTTAATAATTGACTTGCATTCAGATTGTACGTGAAGAAGAAACTTAACAATATTTACGTAACTGATAATTACAGCTTTTAAGAATTTCATATACTTCATTAGCAAATTATCAATACAGATTTTAATCTATGAGAATCAATTACTTCTCTAGTGAACATTTTTCAAAAGTTTGCATGCTAATACCATTTGCACATAGTTTTTGCAAACATAAAACCAAATTAGTACCACTCACCATCTATTGGCGTTTCTTCATAGGGATTCTTGACAGGTTCTGAGAGCAGATGGGCTATGTTAACAATAGGGCCCCCTGAAGTGTTATGCAGTTCGACAATTAGTTTTCCACTAGATAAACGATTCACAATCTTCATAGTTAACTTTCTTTCTAATGTCAATTCCTCAAACTTATTGGATACATCTTCAATAGATGTTGATAGAGCCTGGAACGAGCAAGTATTCAACTTTACAAGACATCAAATTTCAATGTAATGGCAATACCATTTAGAATATACGAGTAATTCAATGTTTATACCAAATGTCATAAATGTGGATGGCCAAAAAATATATAAAAATAATTTAACATTAAACAAAAATTGCTGATAAATGAACAAGACACAGATTTGAAACATTTTATTATTTAGAGTAACAATTATTAATTAACTAATAATTACAATATTAAGACAGCAAGATTTTATTTAACTAGTTGATAAGTTAGTTATTTTTATTCGTTATTAAGTAGAGGAACTGGTCCAAATACAGGCAGCCTTTCCCAATATCATCAACTTATGAGAATCAAAGATACATAAATATATTCAATATGTTTGCAGATATATGATGGGACTGAATTATTTTACTTGCAGACTGGTAAGTTAGAAAGATTAAATAGTATGAGAGAGGAAAACATTAATGAAGGTAAAAGAGGGACCATTCACTAGTCATTTGACAAATATAAATTAATTCTAGCTATAGCTGGATGAATTTGTAAGTAGTGTATTTATGTAACAAAATAAACACTATTTTTATAATATTTACATCACTGTTTTTTCAAACCAGCTATTTGATTATAGGAAGCAATTTTTCTGTATGGCAACTTTTTTAATAGTCACAAGTGAGCAATATAACCATTTAAATATGTCAACAATTAATCAAACATTTTCATTCATGTTGTATTAAAATTTAAGGCCAAAACAGTGCCAGCCTGTATTTAGACAAGTTCATATAAAATCTGTATTATTCATAGAACAAGAGACGAAAGTGTAAAAATCAACTGTTCATATCTTACCTCATAACCAGACAAACTACAAGCCACTGCTTGCGCCTGTGCCTGACAAAGATTTGAATCCATTTGCCGCAATGAAACTAAACTTACAGTATCAGTATTCCCATAATCAACATAGAATACAGTTATTTGGTCTCCAGCCACAGACAGAATTCTTGCTCGATACCACTGTTGATCAGCAGAGAACAGAGCACACACTGGCATGCCAATGTATAATTCATTTGGTCTTACCATCGCTGCACTAATTGTACAATAATCCACCATAGTGCTCATAATTTTTTGAAGGGATTTTGCATTTGCTTCATACTGCACATAAAAGTTATCAACAGATTCCACATACGAAACTGTCACATTCACAACTCTTCCTGGTTGTATTGCTGGAAGTGGAGGATATGCTTTGGTTTTTTCAAATTCTCTCTGTTTTTCTTTCAAAACTTGTAGAATATTTTCACCATTTAAATAAATATTTCCATATTGTTTGAGGGGTGGACCTTCTGGTTCTACTACTTCAAGAGTTAAAGTTTCACCTGTTACCAATTCCTGAAACAATCTCTTTGCTTTCTCATCGAAGTTTGTATTTTGGATACCTGCTAAACAAAATCGCATAGCCAAACTTTTTGTTTGCAAAAACTGTGAGGGCAACTCATATATTTGAGAAAATGGCACAGTTTCAGTGTTACCAAAGTCTACACAATATACTAAACATTCTTTTTCCATTAAATTAGTAACAACTGCCCTACACAACACTTTTGCTTGAGGCAACAAACTTACACACGCAGATCCAGGAATAGGCGATTGAGAAAAGGGCTTTAACGGTACATGAGAAAAAGTTTGGGTCATATTCTGTAAAATATTTTCAGTTGCTTTTAATTGAATAGCAAATAAATTAGGTCCATCTTCCACATATGAAATATATACAATATACTTAGAACCAACACTTAAAATGGGTGCTGATATTACTCCAGATTCTTGTTTGGTGATAGCAGCAGTCTTAACTAACAAATTGGCATTGCTTGAGTAGGTAGCAGGCACAGTGGGAGGTGGCACATTATAGTTGTACGAAGATGTTTTACTGTATTGATACTGTAGATTTTGAAACATTGCTTGCTGTGCATGAAGAGTTATACGAATAGCTAGTTTTTTCTGAATAAGAATTTCCGAAAAATCTGTATCATGATAATACAAAGTTATCAACCTCCGTCCAGATATTTGGGCTACAATAGCACATCTGAATTCACCATAACATAATTTTTCTCTTATAAAATCTACAGATGCTTGATCCCAGCTAACACCCATGGGAGGTACAACACCAGCTAGGGCAAACTCTGTAGCTTGATTTTGAACAGAACATAATGGACTTGATGCAATGAATTGTAATGATCTTATGTTACTAATTTCTACCATATCCGAATTTCCATAGTCGATAAAATTCACACGAACAAAACCTTGCTGAACAGCAGAAAGATCTGCAATTCGCGCTCTGTAATATACTCCATCTTCTCCATATTTAGCACAACACAATTGATCCACACTTAACGAAGGTGGATACACCACACCAATACCCCGTTCAAACTGTTCAGTATACTGGAGAATCAACCTTTCCACAAAAGTGGCTGCGGATCTATCAAGTTGACCCCATATTTTTAACAATGGTCCATCTTCTGCAACATGTGTTACGAAAATTTCTATGTGTTGAGGTGCACCCGTCATCATTTTTTCTACTCTACACGTTAAACATACGTAATAGGAACGAATCAACAAATAATACGGTTCGGTAAACCGCCGCGACACATCGAAAATCTGTCATGAAAACACACGGGTGACACCACTAAGCTGCCCACCATTGAACTACGTGACTCAGATCCACATGGCGGGAACACAAGCGAGTATATCCGCAGAAGTCGCAGCACACTTCAGTCAATCAAGCCGTCGAGACATTTCACTCGACCATGTTATACTTAATGCAGGAGTGACAATATACAAATAAATACAATAGTATATGATATTACCGTAAATGCAACAAAAGTACGCGATTATGTACGTTCTGATTTAAAATAATATAAATTCGAGTGTAATGTCTCATCAACACAATATATTACAAAATATATAGTATTAAAAAAAGTTCTTTAAAGGACACAGGCGTTTTCTCGTTGGCCAAAATTTTAATTTTCAGTAAGTAATAAAAATTTCTTTCGCTTATATTGGTTCTCCAAGTTTTGTTTCATCACTTTCTCAATGATTGGTTTCCGCGGTTTTACTTTCTTGAAATCAGGACTGCGGGGCTGAATACGGCGAACTATAAACATAGTCGCGAAATTGTAAACACTTTCAAAATTGAAAACTTTCTTTGTAAATACATATGTTTTATTAACGCTAAAATAAATATTGGCATCATGAAATACTTTTTAATAATATAAATAAATTTTGCTTCCTTTGCCCGCCTTTCTTGGATTCTTAGGAACACAATCTACCTCAAATTTGGCGCGGAGAAAAAACAGATCGTTTACATTTGTAACTTTGTACAGTCATTGCTAAGAAATATAATGATGATTGTAGAATATTATTTCTGAAGTATGTAGGTCCGTGACGAAGTTTCAATTACCTACTTTTCTATTATTTTGCATGCAGTCATAGAATGTAGGTTTCATATCTTGACTAGTATAGGATTACCATACTTTCAGTTTGAAAAAAGAGGGCATTTCTTATAAAAAAGGACACTTTTTACAAAATGTTTTAATATAATAATTTATTTTTCTTTAAAGACAAAATACTTACTACTGACAAAATAAATACTTTGATTTTTGTCAACACTTTCATAATCACACAATAGGTCTACTTCATTATCATTTCTGTCATTTCCAGTTTTATATCAGAAGTATTTGGTGGATGATAAAATCTCCCTCGGCAGTTATAACTTTGCTTTGCTTCGAACATTGCAACAAAAGCTTTGAACTTTTAAGTGTCCCTTTAAGCATGGTTTTTATATTTGACATTCTGTTCGAAATATAAACACAGAGCAATATTAACTCCACACGCCAGCAGAATGGTATTAACACCACATCGCATAGAATCTATAATCAGCACTCTCGTACAATAAGCTTTACAATATGTTGAATCAGCTCATGCATTTCATGAACAAAAGGACCTACATGTAGATATAGTTGATCTATGAATTTTGGCGGTTTTTAGGTGAGTTAGATGAAGTTCATTTTTGTATAAAACAAAATTGTTATGATGTCGGGGACTCGAAAAAGTTTTTAAAAAAAGCGCAGTATCCTTCATACATCATATGTCTAGGTTAGTTCCCCCTTTTCAATAGAAAAGGACGTTTCGTCCTCATGTCCGGGGAAAAGGGACCGTATGGTACCCCTAGACTTGTATGTATTTACGCGAAAATGCATTATTATTATTATTATTATTATTATTATTATTATTATTATTATTATTATTATTATATTATTATTATTATTATTATTATTATTAATATCAGTGTATCAATTAATGTTGCCCATCCTTATAATATAACTATAATAATTTATAATTAGGTACAATTTAGCCATATATGGGGCAATCGCCCCTCTACCTTGAAACATTTTTTGTTAACAAAATTTTGTTTCTTAAAAATAATGTAAAAATAAATTATAAAAATGATATAAAAACATGTGGGTGTAAATTGAAACAATAACTATACATGTAATAATCTCAATAGTTAGAATTAATAATTTAAAAGTCACAGTGCTATTAAACCTTGTTTTATAATGTTATATAAAATCATATTAATTTTATATTTTGGTTATTTAAATAAAATGTTTCTCGTAAACAGTTTGTTATTAATGAAGACCGGATACCCGTGTAACTGCATATTTTCTTTGATTACTTGAAACTTAATGAAACCTTCATAGAAATTTAAATTATGAAACGGACATTATTTTAGTACTTGTTTTATTTTGCACGTCTGAGGGATTACTGCACGTTTTAGGTAATGCTGCCTGGAAATTGCACATTGTGGGATTTTACTGAACCAAATTCCCAGATTCACAGTTTCATTGCATGCGTCTAATGAAGATACTTAAAGAGTTAGTTGAAAACAATTTACAATTTGTAATACGAATATCACAAATCATTAAAACGAGATAGTAGGCGCTAGAGATCTGCTAGGCGCGCCATTTGCTCGCCCGTACTCGCTTGAGCATTTCAGCTTCGAGCATTCTGTGCTCACTCGCAGTACGCTGATTCATGGGCTAGGGCAATGTCCATGACGAACTTCGCTTTTGGAATCGAGAAATGTATTATTTTATTTATTTTACGTTAAAACAGTTAAAAAGGGTGTGTTTAATGTTCTACGGGGAGAAGTGAATTCTGTGCGGTTTCGTAATTCTTTGAACCCACCCTAAGCCATACACTACATGCATTTTTAATAAAGATAGGAATGAGTTTTTTATTTATTTTTTGCAAGAATTGTTAACATAATATTCGCTCCGACAGAATAAAATTTCTTTTCAAGGGCAAATCAGCTATAAAATTGTGCTCTTTTCCCTCTGTAACGATAACCTTGCATTGATATATTGATTTAACGATAACCGTGTATCGATATATGGAATATTATCAGATCTCTGTATATCATCATCATCCCAAAGACCAAAAGTGCCTTGTTGCTGTCGTCATGACATTGTCATCCACTGTCCTTTTCATATCTGTACAGTTTTTGAATTGTAATTGGGTTAGACGTTGTTCCAAAATTTTTGTTTTAGGTCACATCATTTCCCCTTGCATCCCCATCCCTGTCTATGTGGATTTTTATTTCTTGGCGCGCAAGGCCTGGTGGATTTTACAAAGAAATTCGACATTACAAGAAGAGACTAAATTCTTCAAATATTATAAGAAACCCTGGAAAAAACATCTGTATGGGTAAGACTAATTAGAGAAATTCTGCAACACAACACCAACCAAATCTGATGGCCTTACAACATCCGCACCTATTAAACAGACAAATGGCGTATTACAAAGAGACCATCACAGTCCCCTGCTCTTTACATTAGCATACTCTGTTCTAGTGCCGCAGTGGCTGACAATGAACGCGTATCTTCCTATTTATTCTCCAGACCCCTTAATAGCTTCTTTAACTTTGAAAAATTCATTAAAGTAATTTCTGCCTAATGTCCACAACAATCTCAACATTCCCACCCTGCGAAAAATCTCTGACGACATCGAAAAATTTCTGAACTTTAATTTTTACTTTCTCCCTACGGAGTGGAGAGAAATTATGTAATCTGCGCGAATAACGGCGAATTTTCGGCACAAAAACAGGGTCCTGGTAACGAAAACGCGGAAAAATACAATTGCTTAATCACCTTGTGTAGCGAAATCCATGTTTTGTGGGCTTCTGATACCGAAAAATCGAATGACGACAAAACGTCTTTCTGTCTGCGACCAACACTAGGGGTTAAACCGTTCAGCCGATTTTCTCCAAAATTGTCATTCCTTATTTGATCAGGCTGATGTCGCGGCCCCTTGAATTTGAAACCGATATTTTAATTTTTGAGTGTATTTTACATGAAGCCCCTGGCTCATTTTCAAAAACTGCTCCATTGTTTCTGATTAAATTTTGTTTGTCCGGAGTTTAGGGCGCCACCGGTTCATTTGGTTAACTGATTCGGTTCAATAGTTTTCGTGATTCACAAGATTATAGTTGCGCGATTCACTTCAATCATTAGAGAATAATTTTGCACTTACATACTAATACATACTAAATTGTACGATTTTAGAAATTTCAAATTGGTTTTGAAATAACAAATTAATAGTTAATGAAGGAAAACAGTTTCAATGCATTTTTGCCTTTCAAATCAGCAATCGCATGCTCAATTGAAAATGAATAATATGCAATTAGGTGATGTTCAGGTAACAAAATTTCTAGGTCTGTCAATTCAGTCAAACCTCAAATGGAATAGACATACAACAAAATTAATCACTAAATTAAGTTCATTATGTTACGCATTCAAAATTCTATCAAATTCTGCCAGCCTTCATGCAGCTCGTTGCGTGTATTTTGCAAATGTACATTCCCACCTGAGATATTGTATAAAATTCTGGGGAAACTCATCATGTAGTACTCAGACTTTTAGATTGCAAAAGAAAATTATTCGAATAATGAAAAAATGCCATCCGCGTTACCCTTGCAAGCTCCTCTTCATTGAGCTTGGAATCTTACCACTGCCTTACCTATATATTTACGAATCTGTAATATTTGTCAAAAGTGACTTACGTAACGGTGAGAACATATTTTCATGCAATACTGATATTTATAATTACAACACACGTCGTAAAAATCACGTTCATCAAGTGTCAGTATCAACAGCCCACTACCAGAAATCCGCATACAATACATGTACGTTACTTTACAACGCACTTAAACAATTAAAGTCGGTTCACAAATTTAAGTTAAAAGTAAAATCTTTTCTGCTGCATAGTTGTTTCTATAAAATTAGAGACTATACTGATTATCAATAAGAGAAATAATGTTTATTTTAACAAAACTGATATATAATGATTTAGTTTACATTTGTATTGTATAATTTTTTAAAAGACTTAATACTTTTGTATCAAATAATGTACTTCAGCTTTCGGGTCAAAGACCCCATCTCGATCAGGTTTTTCTCCAGTTTCCCTGATCCATTGAGCAAATGCTGAGATGGCGCCTTGTTTTGCTTCTGGACGTAAATGTAGCTTCACTATGCGCACGTTTTGTTGAACTCTCATTTTGCTTGTAATGGTAAGAGTAGAGACAAGGGCGAGTTGCTATTTTGTTAGCAATGCAAAAAAAACATACTTGCAATTCGTGTACCAATGCAAATAAGTTTTCTATAACTCAGAAACGAAAATGACTATTTTTCAAATATTGCTAACCTTACGATTTTTAAAACTTATTTATTTCATTTATTTATGTTAAA